GTGCGGCTATTTGTTTTTTTGTACTCCACTGACCCAGATGTTAATACTCTTCTTCAAAGCACGGTCACGTTCACGCTCATGTTCATCCAAATCAAATTTTATATGCAGACAAACATTCATATAAAAATAATCACATACAAGCAGACGTTCCAGACTTTAAAATACTTGAACCAATAATAAATGAACCGCCTCGAACATCTTAGAATTCTCAGTCACACAAATCTTTGAAATGTAACGTCTCTTATCATCGGCCCACTCGGCCGTGATCACAAGTTTCTGAGTGTGTCTTTTCTAAGTTCAGTTGTTTGGTTGTTGCTGAGACCTAACAACTACAGGCCTCGTTTTTAAAAGCTGCTCTGACCAATATATTTAATAAGAACTCTCTTGTCAAATGATGTCATGTATTGTGTACAATAATGAACTTATAGTCTGCAGTTCCAGTAGCTATACATGTATGCAGCTCATTGTTTTAAACGTATGTTTTGGTTCACTCTCTCAGCTCTCATCACCAATATTGTTGACACAAGCAGAAGGCATAAAAAGCTCTAACAATGTACTGTTAGCATAGCTTTACAGCAACAAACAGCATACTAACTTTGTCCTTGAACATAGTGCGGAATTCATTCGCTAAAGAGCCAAATATTTTTAGTTACATCCAACAGGTAACCAGAATCCTTTTGTTGTATCATTAGATATCAATAGACATAGCTAATGACATAAACACAGACTGTATATAAAAGATAGATGCAGCCTTCAGATCTAAAACGTGAACCCAAAACAGAAATCGCTTCACCCTGCATTCTTTCTAACATCCAGCAGGGGGCGACTCCTCTGGTGGCCAAAAACACATCAGAATGTGTAGAAGTCTATGAAAAAAATGACCCTATCGCTTACTTCATTTATTAGCTCTGGAAACGTTTTCCAAATGTGTTTATGGTCTCAATCACTTATTTCAAGTCTCCTTCAATACATCATGATGTTCATTTTGAAAATGATGGTTTCAATTAGAGTAAAATAGGCAACAAAGCAGGGCATGTTTTACAGTAGAGGAGGTTTTGTTGCAACAGCGCCACCTACAAAGCTGGATGACTAACACTAAAGTGCACAGCTTATGGTTTTAAAGGTTCATTCTGCCTAAAATAGTACTTTCTGTCCGAGTACTTTCAGTTTTAAAGGTTTATTCCACCCAAACAGTGCTTTCTAACTAACAAGTTATGAGTTTAAAGAGTTATTCCATCCAAAACTGTACATTTTCTTTTCTTTCTTTCTTTCTTTCTTTCTTTTGTTTGCTCCCCTTTAGAGTAGGCGAGCAGGCACCATGCTTATAATAAGCAACAATAATTAAAATTTAGCTGTTTTTGGTTTTGTATTAAGATCACGAAGCCAATAAAAAAGTATGTTTAATGGGGTGTTACAGCAATTCTACATGTTGTTCCTCCTGCCAGAGACACCTTTTTTTTATTATTATTATTTTTAATGAAGGCTGATACATCCAGATGGTGTTCTGACTAATAAATACTGCATCCTACACTTCCCACAAAAGGTTATAGCATCATGTTTTAAAGACATTTCCTACCTGGTAAATGCAGACATAGGATGAATGCCCCTTTAACTAAGCTCTTAGTTCTTGTTATCTTGCTAGTTTTTTTTGGTTTAAAGGATTAACAGCTGAATTAGAACCCGAATGATTTGCACTTTGTACTCCATTAAGCCCCTGTTTGTGCTGTAGCTGCTGCTCACAGCTGTGCTTCGTGTCAGAGCAGAGACACACATCCAATGTGATCACGGCCAGAGCAGAGCCGAACAGGTCCTGAATCCAGTCATGAAGGCAGCAGGACTAAAGCGCTGCACCACCTGTAAGAGGAATCATGGAGAAAATAAATGTTTTCCTCGCAGGAAACTTTTGCTTTTTTTGTCAGTTGACCAGGAATCACCCTCCTCAGTGTGTTACAGCCATTATGGATACAAAAGCAACAGATAGTGGTTTATGTACAAGAAAACTATGTAGATTATTACTTTTAAAGTGTGTTTACTGGTGTGTGACATTTGTTTGTCCTTTGCATAGAGACCGCCCAGCAGCCTCTCCCTCTCCTCAGCCAGTTTTCAGTCCAGGTGGGTGCTGTCGCTTCCGGCAGGTGAGTTAAAGCTGCATCCTCTGGCGTATCGCTGCGCTCGTGTAGCGCCCACGTTGAGGCTCCTCCTGCGTTATGGCGTTGAGGTGATGCCCCGCCCTCCTCTCCGCGGCCTTCAGCTTCTCCTGCAGCTCCTGCGCCTCCTGCTCGGCCTTGCGCGTGGCCTTGCGGGCGTTCCTCAGCGAGCGCTTCACCTTGCGAACGCGCTCCTTCAGCTGCCGGTTCCTCCTCTCGGCCGCAGCCAGACGCTCTTGAAGCTTCCGGCCCTGCTCCTCCTCCTCGAACAGCGCCGCCTGCACCGAGGAGCACAGCAGCTGGATGGAGCGGGACAGATAGTGGTGCTGTTAGTTAGCATAAAGGAAGAGCTGTTTTCTTTACAGGCCAACCAAACTGTTGTAAACAACCAGCTGACAAGATGGCAGCTGCTTTTGGAGTGTGGGAGTAGTGATAATGTGATTTTCCCAGCAGCCTCTCTGAGAAAATGAAGAAAACATTGGTGTTTAGAGCAACACAGTTCTGATGTTCCTCCTCCTCGAAGACTCCCAACATGCTTAGAAAGGAGGAGGAAACAAAGTGGAGGTACCTCAGTGTTTACTTTTATCCACACATGCTCTCTACTCCCTGTTCAAAAACACAAGACGTGTGTGTGTGTAGGCTTGTCTATGTGACATCCATCCATCACCCCGTGGACCTCCCATCCCTCCCTGACAATGTGAGGGTCACATACTTTGATATTTCTGGGGCTCTAATTTTCCATGTCGCTGGTGGACCAGAGCTGACCTGAACCGACAGCCGTTCAGGGGTGAGCGCCCTCCGAGTCCCGGTGGGGAGAGAGAGTGTGTGTTTTGCTTCACTCAGTGTATAAATGAACATATACAAACTAGAATATTCTATAAATGGACACCATGTGACGTGCGTACAGTATTTGTCGCACTTTGCAGCCAAATACACCGAGTGTGATCGTCTCAGTCGAGGTCAGTGCTGTTGTTCTTACAAACACAGAGCAAGTTCCAAAAAAATAAAAAAATATGGTCTCACATAGGTTGTGACTTGGTGCCATTTTTAGGAAGTATGGTTTTATTGAAGTAAGATAATCCGACATTTCAGGTAATATATTTGGCAAGAAGATAGACGGGTATGAGTTAGCCATGTAGCTATTTTAGGCTAAAAAATGTAAACAAGGCTTATTTTTAAAGCTCGAAAATATGTAACTATCAGCACTAAAGCTCACTAATTAACACATTGTCGATTATATTCTGCACATCACAAACTTAAGTGCAAAAAATGACAAGTTCCAACAAACCTACCCCCTTTTAGTCTTTATGCTAAACTAGAACAATCTACTCACAGCTTTTGGCGGGAAAAAGACACACGGTTGTTGTTGTTGTTGTTGTTGTTGTTTTACTAGCGCTGGTGGTGCTGATTTAAACAGTTCAATCAAAGATACAGACACAAGCTAATCACATCGCAGGAGCCACAGAATAATTATTAGTACGACTGAAGATGGTTAATGATAAAGTTTCAGAATTAATCTGAGAAAACATTTTACGGCTCCCTCTGCTTTATACAGACTCAGTTTTAGAAGAACTTGTTTTTTTATTCAGTTCTTTCATTAACAGGACCAACAGACCGTGTCCTCATATCGACAGGAAGGTCTTTTGGTCTTTTGTAGGAGTCATATTGAAGCTTACAGTGTCCTTCGTGCTGCAGCTGCTATTTCACACAAATAGGAAATAAGTTGCTGTTGATTTTTCTGCTTTTGTACCAGCGTGTTCAGGGATTCTGTTTTGTGCTTGCGAGGTCGTAAAGTGTCACATCAGCTTGGGGGGAAAAAAAGGTAATCAAAAATATTATTCAAATATCTCTAACATGACAAGCTCAGAAAACCTTCTCCATCACGTTTACCGACAAATTGACCAAGAGAGAACATAAAGACCATCTATCACCTGCTCCTGCTGTTATCATGTCATTGATCAGTGATGGTCAGCATTTTAATGATTGTGCTCCTACATTCTGCAGAATGACGTTCAAAGACATCAGTGAAATATCTATATGCTTGTAATACCCGTGGATCGAATGATCAAGTAGAAAAAGGTGTCTACAATTCTTCACCTAAAGTCTGTTATATGCAGTAATGTTTGCTCTTTTGTTGTGTTCTTAGATGTCCACAGATAACTACATCCTACCTAATAAACTGAAATTATTCGACAATATTATATCACAAAAGCAACATCTTTGTGGTTTACTTGCAGGTCTAACAAGTTGATGTTTTCCAGGTGAGCTAGGAATGGACTCTCCTCAGAATGATTCAATTTTGGGATCAATCAATGATCAACAATAGCTCCACCAGAGGTCAAAGGTCACTATTCCAAAAATGCTGTATACCTTGGAAAGTAGGTTTATGATATTTGGTGCAGATAAGCAACCATGTTGGGACTTACTGTTGGTGATGTTACATTTGACCTTGGATGATAGTTCAAGGTCAAAGTCAAGGTCAATAAATGTTGATATTGTAATGATATTTTACACAACATGTCTTGTATACATAAATAGTACCCATTTCACTTTGGACAACCAGCCAACCATGATTAGTGGAGGATAACCTATTTTGTGGATAGTTGGGTGGAATAATGGTTTACTGGGGCCAAGTGCCATCATGGCTGGCAGGGCCAACTATATCTCTCTACTGGGGGCCCTCTGGTTTATGTAGTTTTTGATCTTAACAAGAAGGTTTGGGGTTTTAACCAGCTGTTCTCACTGTGCCCATGTGACTGACCTCTGGTTTCCTCCATAGTCCAAAGACATGGGTGGTAGGTCAAATGGTGATTTTAGGTTTCAGATTCATTCCTTAGGTGTGACTGGTTGTCTGTGTTGGCCCTGTGATGGAGTGGTGAGCTGTAGAGGCTGCACCCTGCCTCTCCAGCCAGTGTCAGCTCTGATAGAATCCATCCCCTATGACCCTCTGCAAAGATTTCCAAAAAGTGACCCAAAAGTCCTCTGCAACTTTGCCCCTAATTTAATCTGCACATAACAATAAAACCTGGGTGCAAACACTGCCAGGAACTCTTTTTTTAAGGGCTAATGCCACATTCAGTCAGTAGGTTGTAGTTTTCTATGTAAGCTCTATAAAGGCTTCAAAGTTGGTCTTAAACTGGGTTTTCCAGCATTAGTAAGTGAGATTGGAGAGCTGAGATCATCATTATACACTGTTGAACTATTTTTAATTAATATCAATGTATTCAACTTATGTTTATCAAGTAAAATGTACTTGAAGCATCATTTTGATGAGCAAAGTTTAGCAAAACCAGTTTGTAGTCAATGAACCGCCTCCATATTCACCATGTCATATACATTTCATTTTCATACAGTCAGTTTAGCCAAATAAATATTATATTTAAGCTTATTATAAAGCTTGATTTTGTAAAGAAATATCTCATAGATGAGTGTTTACAGTGAGGTCTGATCAGTGATCAAGTACTGGAGCCGGTGTTCCCTAATAAAACCAGGGATTATTATTGCATTGTATGAGCTTTAGACCATAAAAATGAAGCAATGTTTCTGTCATTTTTCACTACTTTAAGTACTGTAAATGAAAATCCTTATAAAATAAAACCAGAACCATCTACATGGACATCATCCATGAGACCCCAGTACATTGTGACCCTTCAAGGCGACTCTATTACTTCCTGTTCACTTCGACTAGAGTCCCGATTACATAACATGAGCACTATTTTACAGATTGAAGCGTCCTCAGGCTCTTAGGAAGCCTCTCAGTGGGACGGCCCCAACACACACATGCACACACTAACACACACCACCTGTGAAAACATCCGGGTGTTACCTGCCTGCTGTTTAGCATCATCTGTACAAACAGTATTAAAAGGCACACACACACGGACACAAAGTCCACGAATTCAAGTGAAAAACTGACTGAAAAGCCACAGAGAGGCCGAACAATGAAAGACAAACACAGATTCTCCTCTGGGGGAGGAATCAGGGAGGAGACATTGGCTCCTTTAACATGTAACATTAACACTGGATTAAAAAGCAATATAAAAATGTGTCACCTCACGTTGTTTCTTTTAGCTCGTTGAAGCATTCTAGTGTCTTTCAGCTTGTGTTTCGGTTATTTTACCGCTCTCATTCACTCCTCTCATTGCGGTTTCAAGTCACAGCAGGCTGTTTAATCAGCTTAATCATATCATGTATCTGTGCACAACTCAGCAACATGCACCAAACAACACATAGACAACAGTTAGCAGCAGGCTGGTTAACACGGTGGAGCATTTAGCAGCAAAACCCTGGAAGACTTGACTCATTTTAACTTTAACTCTAATTGGTGTTTACTTGTGTTTTCTGTTGGCGATTGGTTTAAGCTCAGGCACCAAAACTACTTGGTTAGTTTGGACAATAACAGACCCTTTCACTATGTTTACCCAAGTTGCATTTTCTTTTTATTTTCCGTTGCTCTTACATGCGTTTATTCTCACGACCGCCTGCATTATCAGACTTACTTTCTGTTTATCATTGATCAGAATGGATGATAGCACGTCTTCTGGCCTACGAGTAGGTGGAGGAGTTCCCTCCCGTGGCCCGTGGGAAAGATCTGCACTGATAAAGGCTATTTACAGGCTAAAGAGGATGACCAATCACACGAGGGGAACATATAAAAGAAGCCACGACAGTGTCTTTAATGTCACTGAGGATGTTTTAACACTTTTTCCTGTGCCTTCTTTGAGCATTGTTCTGAACCTTCCTGCATTCATCAGTGGTTTGACTGAAACAGAACGTCAGATAAAAGAAGAGGTAAAAAAGAAAGAATGCAGCAACTATACTCAGGGGTGAAGCAATTTCGAGGTGTGTTTTTGTGTGTTTTTGTGTGTCAGTGCCCAGCCTGACCTGACTGCTCATTCATTTCTGCAGACTTTTGATTTCTTCATATAGAGACACAGCAGGAGTCCCGAACCTCCCCCCCAACACACATTTAGCGTCTTTAGAGCTTCGCTATTGACGTCAAAGAGACAAGCCGTGGTTTGTCCTCTTCTTCCAGAGCTTTTATTTGGTTTGTGTCTTGGTCGGGAGGGAAGGTTGCAAAACAGAGAGACAGAGTAAGAGATGAAGAGATAAAGAAGAACAAAGGGGAGACGGGGAGAGGAAAAAAGAAATAAAGACAAGACGGAGAAAATGGGAGCCACGGGGAGGCATTTCTGCTCTGCTTCTGCACTTTTCTCCTTTATTTCCCCGACACACACACACACACACACACACATCGTATTCATCCTGAGCTTTTGAGTTTCACTGCTGGGTGAAACAGGCAAACTGTGCTGCCTTCCTTTATATCCCTCTGAGCCTCCACGTAAAACGTTAATGAGAGTCAGAAAACTTGTTAAAGGTGTTTACATGACAGTTACAGCTGGATAGTCCCTCACCGGGGTAATAATCAAATCATTAATGTGCATGTAAAATGGAAAGGAGTGAGAAGTATTTGGGGAATCTCACTGTGACCTGTGAAGCGAAGGCTAAAGAGGAGACGGAGACAGGATATCTCCCAGTACAAAATAAATCTGTGTTAAGTCGGCTCACGGCTCTGTCTGACCTGGCTCATGGTAAAAGCAGCTCTGATAAGAGGAGACTTTGAGGGGAAAAAAAAGCTAATTGAGGGTTTTGACAGAAGAGTTTAGTGGAGGATGTCTCCTGTCCATCCGTCTGGTGGGGCGTCTGGTTCCTGTGAAGCAGAAGTCAAACCACCTCCCAGCTCCAATTTTAGGGATGCTTTGTGTTTCAACTCCAGCTGAAGGATGTTTTAAAACATCAAAGCAGAGACAGAAAGAGTGACGCAACCGTAGAAACTAACTGTAGATAGTGAAATTAAACATAGGTTCACTAAGAAAAGGGAGTCCTTCCATTTCACACTCCTCCGTAAATTCCCAAAGAAAAAACACCTGTTTTGTCCTGCCTTGCCTTGAGGTCGCGGCCTCTGCATGTGAGCGCTCGTCCTCTAAATGAGAAATGCCTTTAACCCCTGTCGGACTGACCTCGGACCTCAGGGCTCAGAGGTCAGAACCTGTAAGTCAAACATGAGTAGAAAGCGAGGGGTAGTCGCCACACCACTGCACCTCATGCACCTTTACTGATTTGGTTTTAACTGTGGATAATAAAAACACCATACATCCATTTTGGAGACGATTAGCCATGAAAGCTGGAGGCAGAGCCAGGCAACACGCTGCTAATGTGTACCTTTTGAAACACCTGAATGATGGTAAAAGTTGCAAGAAATGGAAATGTGGTTCAAGGTCCATATGTAATGTTGGATGATAAAGCTACTTTATACAACTCTGAGTGGTTGTCAGGTGTTCTGGGGCAGATTGAAACAAATTAAAAAATAAGTCAGGCTTCATTTGAAACAAGTCTAGATCAGTGCAGACGAGTCCAGATAAGGATCATCTGAGACAAACCAAGAAAGTCTTAAAGACCTCTCTGGTGAAAATCTGTTTTGTTTTACCTAGTTAACATGTCCACATTGTGTATGCTAGCACACATATAATGGGCAGAATAAAGAGTCAGCACCATGACTGAGCATTTTCACTTTTGAATTGCAGTGTACTGATGATAGTCTCTAAAACCCAGACTCCAATTTCCAGATTTTCATATGTAACAAACCCAAATGGACCCGTCATCATTCTTCTTCTTCAGAATTAGTTTCCAGTTCCACATATATAGCTAAATTACTCCAATATTACAACTTGTGGAGACGTTTTACAGTGTTCGAGTGGAGTCGTAGGTGAGCTGGTGTGCTCGAGCTGCAACAAGTTGGAAGGAGTGGACAAAGAGAGAGGAGTGGACTTCATAAATCTGTGCATTCTCAATTAAGAAACAGTACAATGTTACATCTAGGCTATTTTAAGGTGCAAAGGGCCAATTTTTATGATGGAAAAAAATGCTAAATAGGTCATTTTGATACACAGAGATGAGTGTTTAGTGGTTTGATCAGTGAATGAGTTGGTGGCATCTGTCAATGAAGTTGGAGTTTGCACCCTCACACGTCTTTTCCAAACCTGTCTCACCAACAGTAGCCATACGTCAACATAAAAATGCAAAAAGTTCCTCTCTAGGATCAGAGCTTATTTTGTCCATTCTGGGCTACTGTAGAAACATGGCCTGCTCCCTGTTTAAATATAAAGGACTCATTCTGAGGTGATGAAAACACAATGATTCGTAGATACAGAGATAGCCGATATGATGACTCCATTGTTTACAACACTTTGTCTGCAGCACATGTAGCAGAATACGCATCACAGCTGAGCAGACGGTGATGCAGAGTGATGCGGTGTCTTACTAGCTTATGAAATACATTGCTGGAGAGTTAACATGAGAGTTTACCTTTTCAGTAAAGCTCCTACATACTCTGCACAGTATGTATATAAAGAATATAGGCTGACTTATCTCTATAGGGTTTTTTATGCTCTTTAAATCAGCACCAGTCAGATGAATAGACACTAATGAAATATAATTATTAATCCGATATTTAATTTCTGTCAATACAGTCCCCTGAACTGACCCTTTAAGTCATCTGAGAAAAGTCAGTGACAAAAAGTCAATGGTGACAAATCAAGTCTTCAACTGCTCAAGAGGAGTCGAAGTCACGTCTTAAGTAGTGAACACAAGTCCAAGTGAAACCTCAAGTCAGCAGAGACAAGTCTACCCAAAAGTCAGAGTTAACAAGATGAAGTCAGCAAACTAAGTCAAAGTTTACACGAGACGATTCCAGCTTCAGGTCAATCAAGGTGAGACGGTTCAAAGTTTCAAGTCAAGTCGAGTCAAAGGTCAACAGTAAACAACCAAGTCTGTTGTTAAAGCTTCTTGTCAAGAATGATTTAAGGCAAGTTCAAAGCAGGTCTCACAGATCTAGAGTGGGAAAGCCCTCAGGTGACTGGAACACTGCCGCATTTCACTTTCAAATCTGTCAACATGGTGTCTTCAGATTACAAGTCTATAATGATGTCAGAGACCATGAACCATATCTATGACACTATTATTGATGTACTTAATTTGCAGATACTATAATGCAATGTAAATACGTCAGCGTTTCCATGACTGCAGTGATGTGAAGATATAAAGCTGTGACCTAAAAATCAGATTTTATAGCTCAGCGATGTTCATCTGAAAAATCTGTCTTTGTGCCACAAAATCTATTCAGCATCCAGCCAGCTTTGTCCGTTCACAACGAGAGCAAAGATGTGCGCCCCTCCGTCTCCGTGTTCTATCTTGTCTGAAGCGCGGCCTGCTCGGCTTAGTCAGTCGAGGTGTGATAATGAAAGCCTGAGTCCCAGCAGCAGACCTCTGCTCACAGGGTTCAGCTTATCTCTGCTCTCGGGTCAGCGGGGTGTGTTGCTTCATACTGATATGGATCGATGCCGCAGACTGGCTCCCTTTCAAAACGCTGCCTGTCAAAGTGGTGGATCTCTGCTATTTGATCTCTGACCCGGGGACGGCCAGCATCCTGTCTGCCTGAGGAGCCAGACGGACGGACCTCCACCGATCAGCTACTGCTTTGATCTTCGAACTGACTGGAACATGATCACATGGGACCAATCACATGCAGGGAATCTATAAAAAAATACAATCAATTCTACTGTGTGGGTGTGTGTGAGTGGTTTTTTTCTTCTTTTTTTTATCCCTCTGACGCTCAATCCATCGTGTGTAGCTCTGCACAGTGCCAGAGGGTAGTTAGACTCTGTTTCTACTGATCCTCACCACATTCCTGTCAGCAGAGTCACAGCTCAGCTCAGGATTAGGAGTCCACACACACAAACCAAGCCTTCCCTCTGCTCACGCCGACACACTGTTGATTCAGCATCAGTTTCTGAAGCAAGAATGATGCAGAGATACTACAACACCCCAACATTACTTGTCAGTCCCTCCACCTCCAGCTCCCTGCTGTTACCCTGCATCTGCTGTCTCCATGGTAACAAGATGGTGTGGAGTTTGTTTACATCCACTGCAAACACCGAAAAGCTGACCCGACTGAAGCAGGGGGCATTTCTGACTTTATTCTCCTCACAAGTTTTTGTTTTCAAGGTAGCAGCAAGCATCGCTATGGCAACCAACTATCCAATCCTACTGCACGGCCGTACTCAGGGTTACACATTTTGGTTCAGTCAAATGGTTTCTCTTCTTCATGCATGACATTTTTAACAGACTAAAGGTGCGTGTTGCCTCACCCTGCTGTCCTCCTGGGTGTCCCACTCGGGGCTGAACGTGTGGAAAGGTTGGCTCCCTTGGGTGCAGTTGGAGAACTGGAAGAGGCTGGAGAACGTGCGGCGGTTCTCGGTCGTGTCGGGGAAGATGGCGTCCTGGAAGTTGACGCCGTGAGGAAGGATGTTGTAGTTCTCATCCATCCTGCAGAGGAGATAAAATGGACAAATGTAAGGAGCAAAATCTGCATCTGAACCATCGAAAGACACAGTTGGTCAGGTTGCAACTTGCATACTCATTAATGATGCATCATATTGAGTGAGCTTAAGGTGTGTTTTGCAGGTAAAAATCTCCAATCTGGAAACTGACTCCCAACTATAGCTGTTAGCTGTCGTGGAGAAAGTGCATCACATGTATTTGATGCCAATGTTGCAGTTCTTTGGAATGATATCTGCATTTATTTTGCAACTCTAACTGCAAACCAGTTTGCTCCAACACAAACAATGACAGATTAAGAGTTGTTGGAGTATAACTTGTTTTTGCAAAATGCAAACAAAAAGATTTAATTCATGTTGCAACCATAACACATATTTCTAGGCTTCTAAAACTGCAAGAAGAGTTTATTTTTGTTTTTTTGGATTGGCTTGTTTCTGGAGAAATGTGTCCAATCCCTGCACTTTACCTGAGGAAAAAGAAGTAGGAGTAGTTCTCCATCACGGTGTGGGACTGACAGGACAGGTAGCCCAGCCCGGTCAGGTTGAGTCTGGATCCAGAGGGCACCTCCAACATGCTGCCCCAGGCTTGGTCACACAGCAGCTCCACTTCTGCCGAGTACAACAGCCCTTCCTCCGCGCCCTCGTACCCATACCCGAACCCGAATGGCAGGGAGTTATACAGGCTGCCCGCCCCAGCTCCCAGCGGCTCCCGGTGGATCCCCAGGACCCGGGCGTACACGATGATCTCCGCCAGCTCCGCTCGGCAGCCCTCGCTCAGCGGCCGCCACTCGGAGGGGAGCTGGCAGCCGTGCGTAAAAGTGTCCAAGTGCGCAAAAACGCCGAGCGTCGCCAGGAGGAGAGTCGTGCAAAACATCCTGAAGAGAGCGAGAAATCCTGTCTGGCAGCTTGTAATCTCTGTGATGATGCTCTGAGTCTTCTTTCTTTTTGGCCCCTGGTTTATGTGGGAGGTCAGTGCCTTCAAAGCATCCAAGTTAAAGTAAACTAAACTTGCAAGTTGGCATGCAAGTTGCGTTTAAAAAAACTAAACTGGTGATGCTTACCTGGGAGCTTCAGTTACTTTTTTACAGAGCTTCTGACTTTTGCAGACCTTTACTAAAAAATCAGATGAGTGTGTAGAAACTTCCACGACTCCAACCTGTTGCTGTGATTATTCCTCTGCTGTGGGAGCGAGAAGCTGCACGAGCGCGCTGGTGGTGCGTTCAAGGACTGATGCGCAGCTCAGATATTGTGGGTCTCTGTGTGGGCTGGACGATGCATTTAAGTGTCTGAAAAAATGGTTAAGCTTTTCAATTTGGTGACCTCAAAAATGTACTTAATTATGTTATTATTTTAGAAGTGCATAACATAGCAAAACCACATTTAGATGAACATTATTATTATTTCAAACTAAAGCATCCTTTCCTTTATAACAGTCATGTGACCTGGGCAGGTTTAAATGGCATTATTGTCATACTTTCTATTAAAAATCAACTTCTGCCACAAAGCAAATGAAAGTATTTGGGATGATTACAAAAGACAAAGGTGGGAGAATATGCTAGATGTGCTTCAGGGAGTTCCTCGAGGAACTTATATTGAGTCTTTCAGAGGATTCAATGGGTCTTCCAGGGGTTGAGAGATCTAAAGCATCACCATGTCTATGGAGGCTTCAGGGTACCTGGAATTGGTTTTAGGGGTCCCTGAGGGATTTCATGGGTCTTTTATGTTATTTGAGGTCTATCCTTGAGGCTCGAGGGGTCATTGTGCTGTTCAGACCTCTCAGGAGGACTCGAGCAGTGACCATTGGAGTGGTGCTTTAAGTCCTTGATGGGATGTCAGCGAGTGGGAGGTACTGCACAGGGCTTTGACAGGAGATCCACAGTAGAGCTGCAACTGATTTCATCATTTAGTTGCCAAATATTTAATTAATCGTCAGCTACTTTGAGAATCAATAAACCATCTTGAGTCAAAATTCTCTGATTCCAGCTTCTTAAAGTGAATATTTTCTGATTTCTTTCCTCTATAACAGTAAACTCAATGCTTTTGAGACATCTCTGACTTCAATCCACATTTTTCAGCATCTTATTACATTTTAGAGACCAAACACCTAAACAATTAATTGACAAAAAACAAAAAAAACAATCAACAACAATAACAATAATCATTGGTTGCAGCCTGAACCGACAGGGCCTTTAGAGGATTGAGAAACGCTCCCGTGGGAGACTTTAAGGAGCCTGGACAGGGGTCCTGGAGTTTCTCAGGTGGTTTTAAGTCCTTAAGGGGATCCTAATGTTTGGCTGGGATTCAGGTGGATTATGAAGCTATACCAGGACTCTGTGTAACGAATGTGGATATATTTAATCATTACCTCACTGTTTGACCCCAGGAGATCATAGTAGATATGGATGATGGTGTTCAGGCCCTCAGTTGTTCCTCTTATAAATGTCCTCTGTGCAGCTCTACTCTAAATCTTGACTAACTACAGTTTTCTTCTGTGATTCTTCATGTGATTCCTTCAAACTAACTGAACAAATTGAATGGATCCATCAGTTTCACATTTTAAAGTGTGTCAACCCCTGGAACAGCACTGCCATCTAGTGGACACGGACCCGAATAGCACTGGACACTTTTATATAACAAATGACAACAATTGCTGTAATTTCTAATATTTGACTCAATAAATTGCTATGGAAATGAAATAACCAAAAACAGATGGGCCTCTTGCAAGATATTGTAGTTTAATGTAGTGGTCTTGATGTGTTTTACAACAAATATATTCCCAGATGTGCTGCAAAGTGGCTCGGTGGTTATCACTGTTGCCTCGTTCGCGTCCCGGTGAGGACACCCGGGAGTTTGCATGTTCTACCCATGCAGTGTGGGTTCTCTCCGGGTTCTTCCTCCCACACAGTCCAAAAACATGTTGAGGTTAATTGGTGATTCTAAATTGTCCGTAGGTGTGAATGTGAGTGTGCTTGGTTGTCTGTCTCTAAGTGTAGCCCTGTGATAGACTGGTGACCTGTCCAGGGTGTCCCCTGCCTTCACCCTGAGTCAGCTGGGATAGACTCCAGCCCCCCATGACCCTAGTGAGGATTAAGTGGTGTATAGATAATGGATATTCCCATGTACTCCCTCAGAGTAAATACATCACAGTGTTTTCTCCCAAGTTCTGCTTCAAGCCCCGCTGCTTGGGGAATCTCCGGTGTTTCAGAGTGCAAGGTGACTCCTGCAGGGAGTTCCCGCTGTCAGCTGACCTGTGGCTCCGCCCCCTGCTGTCAGGTCCTCGCTGCTGTATAAGACATGCGGATGGATCCGTCCACACGGCGGCGCTGCTGCTGTCTGCGATCAGATCTGCTCCCTGCCCAGAGACGTCACTTCAAGGAAATAAAAACCTCAGGAAAATCCACACTGGTCTCTGCTGCGTCCAGTTACAGACAATCAGCCCGAGCTAGACCGGAAAACCTGCAAGTGGGCCTTCAAAATAAAAGCATACATTTTGCGCTACATCAGTTGGAAGCTGTAACATTAGACCCACAAAACAAGTGATCTATCATAGTACTGATTGGTAACACCACAATGATTTCAGCAATTCCTTCAAATACAATTACTGTAGTCGAGGGGCCTCTCCTCAGAATGATTTGATTTTGAAGTCAATCAGTGCAACATTAGCTCCACTAGAGGTCAAAGGGCTTTTCAAAAATATCATATACCTTCAAAAGGATGGACAGTAGATTGATGGTATTTGGTGCAGATAAGCAACCATGTTGGGGCTTTCTGTTGGTGATGTTTCATTTGACCTTAAGTAATATTTTAAGGTCAAACTCAAGGTCAAACAATTTCGATATTGCCATTCTATTTTTAATAACATGCAACACCTTGGACAACCAGACAACCATGATGAGTGAAAGAAAACACTTATTTTGTGGATAGTTGGACAGAATAATGGTTTACTGGGGCTCAGTGCAATTATGGCCGGCAGGGGCAACTATATCCCCCTACTGAGGGCCTTTAATTTACCATCTGATGTGATGTTGATGTATAGACAAGATATCTTGAAGGTTAATGGTTGATAATAGCATAGAACAATCTAAATGCTGGACTTTTTGTGTGACTTAGGGCATGGAATCTTGATTTTTTGAAAAAAAAATTCCTTTGCCTAAATGTGTTGCATGTGTCTACCAAATTTGGTACACACTGGTGAAACCTGATGTAGGGGAAAATTAACTTAATAAAAGTTTCATGAGTTTTTGAGCACTTTTAGCCTCTCAAAAATCTGATTCAGTCCTTGGGCCCTACTTATTATTTTAATGGTCCCATATGGTGAACGTCTATTGTTTTTGTGTTTTGTGGTGGATAAAAACTGTGAAGTGTAAAATAAAAGCTGTTAATATAAAAAAGATGTACACTTCTGCCATTCCTCCGTCCCCTCTCTCACGACTAAACCTCCCAGCTTTGAATGTTCCTAAATAAAATTTTTTTGTAATTTGTTACTTTTTCTTTTATTTATTATAAATTCCCCTTTTTTAACCATAGATGGTCAAATTACCATATGTGGTAGCTTTATTAATCTTGATTTGCAATATTTTTTTTTTCAATCACCAGAGTAAAAATATCTTGAAATATCCTTCCCAAACACCTTAGGGTGGACATTTTTATTTTCCAAGTATTTCAAGGACTGCCCTATGAAGGGTTAACATGCACTTAAAGGGGCTATGGTTAACAATTAGGACTAATAATAAAAAAAAAACAAATCAATTAATTATTATGTATATATGATAAAGCATATTTTAAGAAATCCTTTTGCCTCTAAACCAGCTGTTTCTTCTTCTTTTTTTCTTTTCTCTTTTTAACAAAACTTTTAATTAAGCTAGGACTCTATTTTGAAAGCGCTGCCCAGACCACTTCCGGTTCCTCCTCGTAGTTTCTGTCCATTGACACACATCAGCAGCAGAAGGTTGGTCGACACATTCTTCAGTGTCTCCGAGTGTCTTCAGGGTGTTTTTCTGAGCGACAGTCGGACTGTGTTCAGGTCTCCGGTCGGCAGCAGGTGAGTCCAAACCTCTGAGCTGCTTTTACGCTTCATGTGACGCAGTTTGGTCGAGCTGAAGCCGCCGCCGTGTTTCTAAGTTACTGCTAACTTTTCAGTGTTTACTCGCCGGACAGGCCCATCGGAGGAAAGTGAAAGTAACGCAACACGAACAAAAAGAGAAACCTTCGTGTTCCAGCTTTACACGGACACGGTGGCCACATGCTGGTGTTAAAGCAGCATTCATCCCCTCCGTGTAGATTTACTCAGAGACAGATTAACCCTGATGTGTCTTAACACGAGCCTCTGTGTGTGTTGGTGAATTGTGTGTTTGTGGCAGTGAGTCATTGTGTAAAGGCACACACAGCTGTGTTTTATTGTAATGTAGTTGATTGTGATCTTGTGACCGGCTGCTTGCTGTCTGCTGTTCCTGCTGCATGATGAAGCAGTGAGTCACTCCCTGATGTCAGCCAGGGGAGTTTTTAAAACATTAATCTGATCCAGAACAGAGACTCCATCCAGTGTTTACATTTAAATTCATATTGTGATTATTCCCACACAGCCAGTACACATTTTAGATGTTCTGTAGACACCAATCAATGTCCACTTTCATTGATTGATGGCTTTGCAGAGAGAGTTTTCTTCCTGAAGTGGGCGGGAGCAGCACCAAAACAAGCAATTACACATTTATACAGTACATTGCAGCCCACCTAATGTCACACCGCTTCATAGAATATCCCGTTTATAATCATAAAATATCAAAGTCCCAAATCATGTCCTATATAACCCACGGTAAATTTATTATCATAGAACTAGAGAGCCCTCAGTAGAGGCATAGCTGCCCAATGTATGCATGACCTTTGTCTCAGGGTCACATGTTACATCACCAGTTTATAGGCCTCGAATGTCTTCCTAAGTTAGTAAACTTGTGTCTTTTTGTGCATTTTCAGTCATACAGAGCTATTTCTGGGAAGTGCGACCTTTGACCTCTGTAGCATCAATTCATGTATTGACCCCAAAATCTAATCACTCCGATAAGGGACTATACTGAGGTCATGTATGGAGTTTTAGGTTCAAACTCCTCCCCTGTAAAGCACAAGACAACAAACACACACATACGCAGGCATGATTACTCTACGGTTGCCCATCGATGGCAACTACAACGTCATAAAGTTAGTTGTTTTTATAACAAAATTCCTCGAAATTGATTCTTGAAATAACTTTTGCCTGTTTAAAGTCACGGTCGGCTGATCGTTACGGCTCACGGGCCGAGTGTCAGTCATGCGTGGCAGATTATCTCACCGCAGACAGCCGCGGAAGACAATGTGTTTGTTTGTCCGTGACCTGCTCACCTGAGATCTGATCACTGAGTTATTCAAACACTGTCTGACATTAATTAGAGCAAATCAGAGAGAATCACATTGTTACAGAGCATGTCGTCACTCATAACTGAACTGCTCAGCGAGTTAATCATGATAAGTTAGTCCTCTGTATGCCTTCTGATTATAGGTAATAACTAGTAAATAACTGATGGGGTGGCTTTTCAGGGCTATAAGGTGGCGCAAGGTGGTTAGCACTGTTGCCTCGCAGCTAGAAGGTCGCCGGTTCGCATCCCGGTGAGGACACCCAGGATCTTTCTGTGTGGAGTTTGCATGTTCTCCCCGTGCAGTGTGGGTTCTCTCTGGGTTCCTCCCACACAGTCCAAAAACATGTTGGTTAATTGGTGATTCTAAATTGTCCGTAGGTGTGAATGTGAGTGTGCTTGGTTGTCTGTCTCTAAGTGTAGCCCTGTGTCCCCCCAACAAAGGTGAAATTTCACTGAAGCTCTGTTTAAATCAAAGAAACTTGTGAAAAAATTTCCATTTTGGCTTTACGTATAAACCCCCGTTTTTCGTCACACAGATACAATTTTCTCAGTGCTCCATCGTTACAGACACTTTGATACACTAATCTTGAAGCCTGCTTACTGGAATATCCCAGATATAGTCGTAATTGGACCAAGGGTGTGATAATAAACACTGTATTTCTAGCTGAAAAACTGAAAGATGCACTGTGGGGAACATGTAAAAGCTTTGACTGATTTGCTAAAAAAAATGCCACAATGTGTGACCTTTAAGCAAAAGAAATAATAAAACAAAATAAAATACTCAACCACCAGTAGAAGTCCTGTATTCAGAACCGTACTTAAGTGAAACTATGTAAGGATTGTTAGTAAAATATACTTTACATATTGAAGTATTTGTGCAGTAGAATGATACCTGTCAGTGTTTTAGTCTGATAGAGGATGTTTTTATATTATTATTGCTGCTGTATTCATGTAAATTTTGCATTTTGCTGCAACACATTTTTAACATTGAACAAATTTCAGCTGCTTTATTTACTGTTGGGTAGTTTAGTCATCGTGTCTTTATAGAATCTTTAAAATGTGAACTTTTCATGAATAACAGCCTGGTTTCATCTTGTTAAGGATAAACTCTCCAGCTAATCCAATTGGAATAAAAAATAGTTTACTTGTTTAAGAAGTGGCTGAATTTTCGCACCTCATAAAGGGACACGTCATCCTTTAGTTTATCACAAACTTACTGGGACATCTGGAGATATACTTTTGTGACTGGACACAAATGATATGAGAAGTTGTAGTCGGAAAAGTAACGGAAGGTGTCAGACACATGTAGTGGAGTGAAAAGTGCATTATGTCCTCATGTAGTGGATCAGAAGTATAAAGAAAAAGACAACTACCTCAAGTTTTTACATAAGCGTCACTTGATGCTTCTGTACATTCCACCACTGCAACATAGGAGGTGAAAGTATGACACACATAGATGCATTTTAACTATTAATCTGGTTCAATTCCTAAAACCTGTGTAGTTGTTTAACACAGTACTTAAAAAGAATTTCTATATTCAGAATGATAAAGCCACTTGATGACCTCTCCCTAAAGCTCGTCTCTCTCCTCTCAGCATCATGGCGTCTGGAGGCCCCATGATGAACGGCGACATCTCTCGCTCTCCCAGTCAGTCGGGCACGCTGGAGGAAACGCTGCAGCAGATGAACATCCTCATTCAGGAGAACAGAGACCTGAAAGGTGAGGGCAGTTGTCTGTTGGGTTAAGAAGTACATTGTCCCTGTTGGAGTTTAATTTGTTGGTGCTGCAGCATCCGATCACCCAGGTCCTCATCAGGTCCGCTCAGAGTGTCTCAGGTCAAAGATTAGTGGATGTGGTGTTTTTAAAGGCTCCCGTCAGGTTTCAGACTTGCAGTGTGTCAGAGCAGCCAGAGAGAGGCAGAACGCTCCAGGAAATGAGAAAGGAGCGTAATTCAAATGAGCTGCCGTGTTCAATGTGCATTTATTCAAATTATTTAAATAGTCTGCCTGTTCCTCCATCACAGAGGCTCTGCGTCAGACCAACCTGACGATGAAGGAGCGCTTCGAAGGGCTGTCCGCGTGGCGGGAGAAGCAGCGGCAGGAGCGGGACTTCCTGGAGAGTCGGCTGGAGGAGGCTCGGGGTCGCATGGAGACGCTGAACCTCCAAAACCAGGAGCTGAGCAGGAGGCTGGAGGAGGGCGGGAGGGCAGGAGGAGCCCCGGGAGGACGGCAGGTGAGGTTACATGCAATGTGTTACTTTTCTACTTATGAATCCTTCAAAAAGGGAAGCAAGACACCCAGAAAGCTTTTGTTGTTAGCTATGGTGGAATCAGAGTCTACCGCTGTGAGTGAGGCCATCAAGTTACTTTTCATCCCCGTTTATTACAGTATCTCATGAGGTGGTCAACAAACCTCTGTGACTGCTTCACACCACTCATTGCTTTCTGCTGGATATTTTCTCTATTCTGTATTGAAACAAGGATGGACAGCTGTGGGAATCGTAACATGTCCTCTACAGTTCTTCCCATCTTGTCCCTTAGCGTCTCTCCTCCACTGTGTCCTGCTCTGAATCCAGTTTCTCTTGTACAGCTGTAGACCATGTATTACTGGCAGCACAAACGTCCCTGTCAGCACTGGCCTTTTTTCAACAGCTTTAATTAATCAGATGCTGTAGTTTTCTCCTGCTGGCACAAAGTTTACTTCAGCCAGCATTTTTCTTTGCAGCTTTGACTGAGATAAACTCAAAATATGACAATACTTAGATCTGCTGGAAGCCCCGTCTTTTCCTCTCTACACACTCCATCCTTTGTTTAGCTTCTTAGTTAGTAGCTGACGTGAGCTGCTGTGTGTGAATATCATCATCATGCATCAGTCTAAACCCCAACGCCTCTGTATATACTATACACACTGTATATCACATGTTATATTTTATTAAACAACCCGCTCTCTTTGATGTGTTCATTCATCGTCCACCTACATCAGGTATTTTAGGCATCAAAAACGACAAGTTTATTGCTAGTAACTGTAATGTTGCACTAAACTCTGGTTCACTTTGAATGTGCTCTTTCACACATATCGATCGTTGTACATTGTAGGTAAACGCTCATTTCCTTCTGTCACCTGTTGCTCTTGTCTAAATGCTTGTGTTTTATTTTGTGTAAGTACTGTGAGAGTCAGATTCCTTGTGTGTGTTCACATACTTGGCCACTGAAGCTGATCACATAAACACAGTGTTAAAATGTTACTGTCCAGTAATTTATACTGGATTTATTCTTCTGTCAGACTGCATTGCAAGTAGATTAACCTTTCACCTACTTCTGTGTCGCGCAATGTCTTCTCCAGACTGCCGAGCTGGACGCCCTGCGTGCCCAGGTTGCTCGCCTGCAGGCAGAGAAGAACGACCTGGTGGCGCTGAACTCTGAGCTGCAGCTGAAGGCCGAGCAGGACTCCAGAGACGACTCATTTATTGAGATCATCAAGGTGTCGGTGAGGATATTCAATAAAAGCAGGAAAAGGAAGAACCAGATACTGTGATTATTACATGTCATATCAAACTACAGCAGATCCTTTATTCTCTGAGTGATGATGAAATGATACATGGGTGTTTTTGCTCTCAGGATGGGTGCGTAGAGGGGCTGAATGAAGCTTGTGGTGCTGAGCGCAGCAGACGTCCAGACCTGAGCATGACGTCGTCCCGGCTGGACTGCGAGGAGGTGACGGTCAGCCAGCTGCTGCAGTCCCTGAGGAACGAGACGCAGAAAGGCGAGAGGCTGCAGACCGAGCTGCAGGCTTGTGCTGCCAGGTAGAGGACAGACACTTAAAGGAGCAGTTCATCATTCAGTGATCTGCTGTCACCAAGGCAGCTGGAAATGACTTCAGTTTCAGCCAGACTGTCCGTTGTTCCTTGTGCTTTATTAAACTGAGTGATTTAGAGCAGTGGTCCCCAACCACCGGGCCACGCAGAGAGAATGAAAACGTTTTATTTTATTTCCAGCGGAGTCTGCAGGGTGTTTTATTTTGAAAAATGACTAGTTCCTCTCCTGTCACTTCTGCTTGTGCTTGTTTCCCTTCACTTAACTGTCAGTTTTAATGCCCGGATGTGAAAGGAAGCCGTTAAAGGAAGTCGTTAATGTAACCACTGCCGAAATGAATAAAAACCAAACTTCTCTGGTGAGCTTCTTTGAAAAGAGGAAGAGACTCAATGCTGAGACAGAAGAAAAAGTAAATGAATATTTAGCAATAAAGAGTAATTCCATTCATTTATGAAACTTCACAATGAGCGGTCTGTAGAAAGTTGTCTTACTTGAAACCGGTCCGTGGTGGAAAAAAAGTTGGGGATCACTGACTTAGAGAATCCAAATAGAAGGAAATTAAGCTGTTTTTCCATTTTTATGTTTTGGTTTTGTTCCTGTGTTTTCCATCCATTTTTTTCATTTTGTTTAATGTGACCTCTTTTGATTCATTCAACAGAATCAGAGAGCTGGAAGAGAGGAAGCCTAGTGCCGAGGAATCAACACAGACAGCTGAGCAGCAGACTACAGAGACCAAGGAGGATCCTGCAAAGGAGGAGAAGGTTTTCTTTTTTTATTTTAACTCAGTAACAGCAGTAGTAGTTGTATTAACAGCACTGCTACTGCAGACCGAACCCTCTGATGTCTTATTGTTGTCTCCTCGCTATTTACCGTTTTAGTAATCGCTCTGATTTACAGGAAATGAAGCTGCATAGTTTCATTTTGCTTTTGTTTGTAACACTTGTTTACCATCGTGTAAATATTTCAGGCAGCTTCCGAGGTGGAGAATCTGAAGTCTCAGATGATGCTGCTCTTCAAAGAGCTGCAGCAGGCCCAGAGCAAGCTGGACGAAGCAGAAGGCATGAAGAAGAACCTGCAGGACAGGTTAGGCTCACGCAATCACAAACGCACCGTGAAATCTTTACATCCGGGTCACCGCTATAGCTGAGCTGGTCGAGCTGGTGACCCATGAACAGGGGCTGCAGTTCCCCGACGCAGGGTTCGAATCCTGCCCATGGCCATTTGCTGCAGGTCCCTCCCCCATTCTTCTCCCCACTTTTCTGTCTGTCTCTCTACTCTCCTGTCAAATAAAGGCAAAAAGGCCAACAACAAAAAAAAAAAACTTAAAAAAAGAAATCTTTACATTCACATATCTGGCAAAGAAACAGTCACAATGAAAAAAACCTGTCATGTGTTCCAAAAGTGAAGATACAGGATATAAAAAACACACCCGTTGTTTATCGGTTTTTCTTACCCATCATCCTTTTGATGCATACTGTGTTTGTTGTGCCGTGCAGATGTCGGGAGGTGGAGCAGGACGTGGCGACTCTGAAGGCTCAGCTGGTGGAGAAACAGGCCGTTCAGTCGGAGAACGACCGGCTGAAGCTGCAACTGGGCAGCGTGCAGGCTCAGAGCCTGATAGAGCAGAGGAAGGCCGGCGAGGAGAGGTCAGAGGACACAGAGACACAGAAACACTTCCCAGCAGTGATCAGCCTACAGTGTAATTACACACATACAGACATGGAGTCATAGCAACCGCCTCATGTCCTCCCTCACAGGAACAACCTGGCCCAGCTGAAGGATGCCTACACCAAGCTGTTTGAAGACTACACTGAGCTCAAGGATGAGAAGAAGAAGAGAGAGGTAACTTTATGTAGTGTGATGAGGACTTTTGTTGTTGTATTTTTTTTTTTTAGCACAGATGGTTTTTACCAAATCTAATGCAATTTTAAGATGATAAAAAAAAAAGACATGAGAGCCGGATGTATTTGACCTTTCATCTCCTAACTGGTCCTGCAGTCTCGGTTGGTGGAGAAGGACGTACTGGATGAGCTGCAGCAACGGCTGACCGCTGCTGAAGAAGCCCTGGTTGTTAAACAGAGCAAGATTGACGAAATGAAGCAAGAGATGTTCCAGAAGGAGAAGGAGCTGGAGACCATATCTGTGTTCCAGGCTCAGGTGAGTGGCTGTAAATGTGGGAGCACTTTAATTTTTATTACATTAAGTATCCCTGGTTATTCTCACATAGCTTAACTTTCGCAATACTTTCAGGAGTTGAGTATTGTTACAGTGTGGTGTTAATATGTTTTCTTCAGTAAAGGATCTGCATAGTTCCTTCATTGCTGACCTTGCATGACAGCATGAATGCCCTCATCACTGTGCTCTCTGCAGGCGGAGGTCTACTCCTCAGACTTCTACGCAGAGCGAGCAGCAAGAGAGAAGCTCCACGAAGAGAAGGAGCGTCTGGCTGCTCAGCTGGAGTATGTAAAGAAGCAGAACACCCAGATGCAGGAGGAGATGGACTCACTGGGCCGGTATGCACTCAGACAGAAGACAGTTTCTTCTCACATCTTTCTAGTTCAACCACTTTGGACTGAGAGAGAAATTATTAGTTGTATTAAACTGAAATCTTACCTACGTGTCAATCAGTCACAGGAAAAAAATCTACACTTTGTCTGTAGATGAACTCACGCCCGCCGATAGGGGGGGACAAACGGGTCTGTTGTCCCGGGCCCAGACTGGGGGGGGGGCCCAGAACTGGACCCTCACTGAATTATGGATTTTTTTCCCCAAAGAAGGGCTATTAATGGAAAGAAACAGGGCAATATTTGAGTTAGAAGTTTTAATTTGTTGTCGTCTGAACTGTCCTTGATATGTTTGGAGTTGCCCTCCACCCCCACCTCCAACATAAAATGGTTTGGTCCCTGATCAACATCTGATGTCCTTTTATTGGAAGTTCGGATTTTGCACTTCAGCACCAAAATGTCCGCTCAGCAGAAGTCTGGTGCTCAGAAAAGGAAAAAGAAGAGAAAAGGAGAGGAAGAAAATAGAGGCCTTAGAGATTTGCTTAAAAAATACTTTAAAAAAGGTGGTGACACGAAGCTGGAACTAGTAAAGTCAACGTAGAGCGAGGTAAGAAACAGCGGAGCCAACGTTTGTCGGCCTTGTGACGTTATCTGGCTAGCTCTTAATATCCATTAGCTGTGATAAAAATCCTGACAAAACATGGGCATCTAATATCATCTTGTCCCGGGCCCAGGGAAGGCTGTCAGCTGGCCTGGATGAACTAAATGGGCCACAGCACACTGAGGGTTCTTTATCTGCGAGCAACATTAAACAGAAAAGGCTAGAATTTGCAGCATATGAATCATTTGAACCTGGTTATTTTACACTGAAATGATAACTTAAAGTTGTAAAAGCATGGTGGTGTTTACAGGTTGCCTTGTCCCCCTGTCGCCCAACACAGCTGATTCATTCTGAAAGGCTGCTGATGGAGCACTTTTCTTCTTATGAAAGTAACAGCGATAATTTTCCAATTAATGAGAGCTTGGTCGGCCAGTTTGATCTACCAACCGATCGACCAGTGGACCTGAAAACCGCAGCCCTAAAAACGACACTTTGCTGCCTTTGCCACACGGTTGTTTTCTTCTTGTGGTCCCAAAGAGCTCACAAAGAAATAACTGATGTTCAAAATTAATAGCAGAGTCTGTAACTGGACTTTGTGTATTAATAATTACTAACAACTGCACCAAAGGTCTGTTTTACGGTGATTTACAGTCGGTTTCATAAAATCGTCGTTTTGCTTTTTACACCACATAAACTCAGGACCAGAGTTCACTCCAAATTGGACCATAAACTTCCTTCTCCAGCAGCTTCAGATAAGTGGTTTTGTTCCCAGCGTAGGTCGATTGGTAGCTTTCACACTAGAACAAAAGAGGCAGAACAGGATAAAATAACATTTCTGACTCCGCTGTGGCACGCAGCAATAGAAACACACTGAAAAACACATATTGAACAAGATAACTGTGGAGTGACATATAAGCACAATGTCCTCTCTGGCTTATCTGAAACCCTTATCAGTCCCTTTGTTTCTTTGCAGACGCTCACTGAATGAGATGCAAAGGAGACACGTGCCCCCGGCAGGAAGTCCACATGGAGCAGGCGCCAGTCTGGTTGGAAGAGGTAACTGTTGCCCTGAGTTCAGCCTTACAGGCAGACCTTCCTCACAGGCTGCCTACAAGTCCCACATTCTTTACTTGATTGAAGACTTTGATTGGAGGACTTTTTTGATCATTAGCTACTTTAGAAAAGCTGTGAACATGACATGAATATATTGGAACCTTACAGCCGATTCAGTAAAACTAAAACGTTTTCAGGTCTATGAGCTGCGTCTTTAATAAATGTTGAATTTAAGGTGATGTATTTAAACATCCAGTAGACACAGAGGTACTTAAACATCTACTTGGAGTTGTCTTTTCAGTAGCTTCACAAAGTTTCATGAAATAGTCACTCTCCTTTTTGCTGTAATTCATTTTCCCCCCAAAATGTATTTCTTTAGCAGCAAAATGCTACAAAGCGTTCATCAGCTAGTTGCTAACTTGGTCCACGTGTCTTTTGGTGCTGAGCAGGTAGTACACTGTGGGTAAACCAGCTTTTTAACCAAAAACACTCAGAGTGAAAACACATTAAGGAGAGCAGTGAGTGTGAACCAAGACATTATAGTTAAATTAAACCAAAATAAATCACTGACCTCAGATCCACCTAAAGGAAACTATAAAGTTTGCTGAAATTTCTCTGTAGGTTTGTCACTACTTGTGACAACTTTCACATCATGCATAGTTATTTGACCCATTGTGTATATAAAAATATTGACAGGTGCAGCTTTCGTCATACAACATGACCTAGAACACAGGACTGTTGGAACTTGTTGTTGTAGAAAACAGTCTGAAACGTAGTGCAGCTGGTGGAGTTACCACAGTGTAACTTGAGTCCAGCAGATCAGAGTGGTGATCAGTGTGTGTCTCTCTCAGGTACCGACTGGCAGCATCAGGGGAATATTCCTGAACACGCCTGTCCCAAATGCAACGAGATCCTGCCCGACCTGGACTCGCTGCAGATCCACATCATGGATTGCATCAACTAGACCTCCATCTTTACATCAATCACAATAACAGCGACTGCATTAGCACCTTAATCTGAGTCTTCCTCTGCTTTGACCTGTACCTCTTCTATCTGATCCCTGTGACGTCACTCCACAGATCCCATGTAAGATCCATAGCATTCATTCTAGGACGGGAACACTTGGCTTTTCAAGGCGTTTCAGTAGAAGGAATTCAAATGTATGGAGTCTGGAAATGCATGTGAAGAGAGTTTGTCAGCTCTAGTTTGTTGTACATTTAAAAACTGCTCTCAAGCATTTGGAACAGATTAGAAAATCTATCACAGGACACATCCTCCAGTCTGGTTTGGGTCTATGCCATCTGGCACAGTCTCTTTGATGCTGTAGCGACTGGAAACAAGCTAAGAATGAAATTCTTCAGGGCAAAACAAGTCTGGAACAGCAAAACAGCAACTACACGAACCCTTCGGTGAGATTTCAGTTCGGCGCTGTCTGCCTGTCACGTGCACATTAATTATTCAACCAAAGTTAAGCCTTTACCAGTTGCATTTGTTTACTAAGTATTTGGTTGCTGAAGGCTTTTTATATTTTTGAAGGTTTCCTTTTCAAATTAAAATGAAAATTCCTTCTATATTTTTTCTCAGTAAGGATATTTTAGCTCATGATTTGGGTTTTGGTGTTGGTGGGGGGGGAAGGAGCATGCACCATGTAGGCACTTTAATATGAAGATCTATATTTTATTTGGACTCTGAAGATGACACCTGCTATTTAGAACATATATTTAACTAGTTAATCGAACTGTTATTGTAGTGCAGGAGGCTCCCAGTGGAGGCTTTCTGATTCCATGTTGTCAATCTGTGAAAGAAAATAAAATTCTTTGCAAATTTCTGTCTGATTTTTGTCTCACTGTGATGTAACAGAACCTTTATATATTACTAAAACATTTAACTAATGAGAATTTTTTTTAAAAATCACATGAAAGGGATAGTTTGGTTCCTTTAAGTTATTTTTTACATTTTTTTTGAGTTTCATGAAGTCTGTTGGTATGACCCAGTTTGGAGGAGCAGCACAAAGGCAAGGCAACGTCGACTGGACAGAACTGGCAACAAAACATATTTTTTACCTGGTACAGCACAGGAGTTGCTGGTCTACCACTGTAAAAATAGCAGTAGACCAGCAACTCATGTATTCTACCAGGAAAAAATACTGTTTTTGTCCAAGGAGTTTGGTGGCTTTGAAGACAGCAATATAAAAGCTTCAGATCCCTGTTGGCTGTGTGATGGCAGGGTAAAGCAGAGAAAATGTTCAAAATACAGCATACACATGAAAGGATACAGATTTTTTTAGCTGGGCCTTTTTATAGGTGGTGAAGTTCCCTTGAAGTCCTTCTGCCTCAAAGACACCTTGTAGTGTTTGACCACTAAAAGCGCTATCGAGCATTCTTCAAACAGGAACAAACATTTTAAGAATCCAAAAAGAATTCTGATGTAAATGTTTTGTGAAGAAGAAAATGCATCATCAGCGGTTCTTACAATAATAAACTCTGTTACAATCACTAACAAACAAAAAGGCCTTCAAGCCTTGTTGTGAAACTGCTACTTTCTATTATTTTTTAGCTCCTCAAAGCACCTTTGGGACCAAGAGGTTCTAAATCTTTTCTCTATAAGTGGTATCAAACACACATCTTTCTTTTTCTGCTTCCAAGATTTGGTATCACTTTTGTACAGCTCTGTCCTCTGGATGATCTGTTAATGTACAAGGTGCTTTATTACACTGGCCAGATAGGGTGTGGTTGGCAAAGTGACTGGATTTCTCTACTGCTTCCTTCTCTATTTCTACATGTTGCAGCAGTTTTACTTTCACTCAAGGTTGCCAGATTGTCACCCTCTTCTTTGCAATCATAACATATTCGGCAATCTGCAGATGTGCAAAACTGAGATCTCTGCTTGAAGTCTTTATTGTTCAAAGGAAGTCTTTGTTTGAACCTTTTCTCTTCTACAGAGGATTGAATGCATTCATAGCTGCTGCTCATCACTGCAGTTTTAATGTCACTGTTTATACACATTGGGGTTCATATATGCATTCCAGAATCAGGAACTCCACAATCACTGACAGGCAGAGTAAAATGTCTTTTATTTGCACTGGAGGGAATCAAACTAAAAGAAGGAAGAATTGCAAGTGCAGAAAGTGGTTTTGGTAGCTTGACTATGCATCTCAAATTTTCCCTTCCAGGCACACTTCTCCCTGTATTACTGAGGGACAGTCATCTATTATATTTTATGTACAAAGACACACAAATAAGGCAATAAATAAAACGTCACTACTAAGGAGAATTTACCTAGATGCAAATAATCACTGCAAATACAACAAATCTCATGGCTTCAAGTCCATAGACCTTATACAGTCTATGTACATGTCGTCTCGCCTTTTAGGCTCCTTGGTTCGCCGTGGAAAAATATTACAACAAAATAAATATCAAAGGCAGTTTGTATTATATTACACACGTTAGAATTATGTAAATATTTCCTTTTTTCAAAACTGAGTTCGTAAAGGTTGGTCTAAAAGCCAATCTACGACACAAAAAACATTTTTTTAGTCAGGCAAATTATTGGGCAGCTGGCAGCCCTTTGACAACACAACGGGGTCCTTCGTTTAGCGCCAGTTTAGATTTTCTGCCTCGCTCTGTTAGCAGGTTAGAAACATTACAGAGTAGGCCTAAAGGATTGTTTTTATTACATTTAACTGAATGACTTGTACAAAACGACACGAGACGTTAATTAAACCGCATATAGAGAGGCTCAACGCGTCCGGTAGAGTAACATTAACGGCAGCAAAAGACGGAAAGCTGCGCTATTAGAGGTAAGTTGGCTTGGTTATCATCTTTGAGTCCGAAATAAATTAAAGGGAAGTTGTTTTTATTCATATTCAGTTCAGTTTCATTTTGGTTTTAGCTGAATAAATAGTATTAATGTCCCCAAATGTGGAGATATATGACCTCAGTAACTGTTTACCGTGTTGTTTAAATGGACCTGAGACAAGCTGAACCCAGATCTCACCACTGTTCTCATCTCCTCATCTTTAGATAGACTGATGACACTTTACATTATAAGTCCAGTGCTGTGTTCTGTGCTGTGTACCAAAGTTACACAGTCTCCCTGAAACACTTTAATAATTGAACCGAAGCTAAAGAGGGGACTTAACTGTGGCCATCATTGTGTATTATAATATTAGACTGTTTTATGACGTGTAACACACTGAAATACTCCCTTAAATTAAGAATCAGAATTTGATGAAGCTACAAGTGCAAGAAGATCCAGAAACAGTGCTTGAAATTGCCTTAAACCACTGGGAAACTAAACAGCAGAACGTGTGCTATACAAAAAAGGCATAGTTTTATACTATACAGTCTTGTTCAGACAAAACACTGAGACTGTAAGTCACAAGAAGAGCCTCTAACATGAATAAGAACAACAACTGGCTGTTGTTTGCAGAAATATGGCACACAAACAATCATTTAGCAAGGATACAACATTAGTCAGCATGAGAAGAAATGTTAAGAATCATTATAGCAGCAGATATTAATTGGGGACAGACACAGTAAACATAATCAGTCTGCAGGAAGCAAAGGCAATGAGTCAATCAATGATTTTTATTTTGTTACCCACAGTTTAATAAGTAATATTATTTCTTGTGCTTAAAATGGGTGAAACCCCCATTTACCAAACTGGTTTAAAACATATTTTCCGTTCTTATCATTGTTGTATTGGTGATTTTCCTTCTTCACTTTCTATAACCTCAACTGGGATAGACTCCAGCCCCCCCGTGACCCTAATGAGGATTAAGCGATGTATAGAAAATGGATGGATGGATGGACTTTCTATAACCTCCCTGATGGGTGCCAAAGTTACTTGATCCCCAAAAAACCCTGTCCAAGGGACGACGGGCACAGTACAACTGATACAGATAACTTAACCATGAAATATGACAACAACAGCAACAATGACAACAACAACAAAACATTGCTGAAAAAAATGAACTAAACCTGCAGTAAGGTCGTGGTATAAAGTCAATAAATTATAACATTTTTCCCATGAATCATGTTTTGGACTCCTTCATCAGTCGTAGTGCTGAACTGGCAAATTGCAAATGCTGCAATTTAGGAGATATGTTATGCAGCACATGACCCGGGGTTTAAACAGTTGTGTCAATAGTTTTACAAATTCACGGTGCCTTCTGGTGTGACAGTCACACTTTGTATGATTCCTTATGTGGGACACACACTCCAACACACACTTTAAATCTGTAACACAGTGAAGGTTGTCCTTAAAAAATTCAATTGCATATAAGGCATAAAAATCACAATTAGACATTTTCACCTAATCATTTAACCCCAATTATTAGATATTTAGTTTTATACCTTTTATTTTTAATATCATCTGTACATATTTGGATCAGAACCTGTTTCCCAGTACTTTACAGCTGCTACAAAATATCCACAAAAGGACGTGATGTGATGTTGCTTCACAATCGTACTGTGTACCAGCTTTGCTGCAAAGCTTACACTGTGTTGCATGAAAATATTTAAAGGACTGATTTACATTTCCATGAGAAAGTTCAGGCCAGACTTTCAGATCTCTACTTTATTTTCATGTGACTCATTACCAGATCTATCATTCATTTCATGAAATAATAATAAAAAATGCATTTTCCACTTTTCTGTAGGTCACCAGATCATCTGAGCTCAGCACATCTAACATCTCTAAAATGGACTGTAAGTATCAGGACGTTTAAAGCACATGAGAGTAAAGCTTTATGAGTGGGTCAAGACATAAGTGAGACCATCTCTTTTTCACGTAGGTGAAGATGATCTGGACATTTTGACGGCACTGCTAGAAGAGAACGAGGGTGTCGGAGAAGAACAAGACAGTCAAGAGCCAGCAGATGACTTAGATGGCCTGTTTGACGAAGACAATGATGAAGAGGAAGAATACAAAGAGAGTGTCGACGAAGAAGAGCCAGATGTAGCCACAGAGGACGTGGTGTCAGATCTCTTTGGGGATGTCGATGACATTGAAGACGAGGAGAAGGACACTAAAGGAAAAGAAAGTAGAAGAGAAGCCTGCGAGGAACTAAACAGGTCGAAAGAGGATTTACAAGGTTAAGCAGTCCCATTGTTAATCTGCTTCTCATTAACTCACAATGTAATTCAGTTCAGTAACATGTAGCTTGTGTTCATTCCTTTTGTTCCTTCAGATGAGTTGAGGCGGATGCAGGAGCAAATGCAAAGATTACAGCAGCAGTTGGAGGCCAGTCAGAAGGTTTCATTACCATCATCCCCCCGAGTCAGGACTGCAGGAAGTTCAACTACACCCAAACCAGCACCTTTGCGACAGCCAACCTCCAAAGTGCCGCAGGTCAAACCAGCCGCTGCCACACAGAAGCCCAAGACACAAGCAGGTAAACCTTTTGTTGTTCACCAGCCACAGTGGTCGACCTGTCCTGAAAGCCGCCGGCTACTTCCAAACATAAAGTATAGAATAAAGTGATAAAGATTGTGCTTATATCTTCCTTCCTTTCTCACAGTAGCAACATCTCCATCCACTCCAGCCAGAGGAGGGAGCCTGAAGCTCCAGGAGTCCTCAGAGTTTTCTTCTCAGCTCAATAATGCTGACTCATTCAAACGCAAACCCAGACTGGCTCACCAGCCCAAACCCAGCACCTCATCAGGTAAATGAATCCTTCAGCATTCACTTACACACATCAGAAATCCTAGTATTGTTATTAGAACTCATTACACACAGACTTCATAATCAGTGCTGCAGTAACTTTCGAGATGCTTCATGTGTTCTGTGTTTGTGAGTGTACTTACTTCACTGTGTTCCAGCAGAAGACAGAGGACCGCTGGTAGAGATAAAGATCGGCAGCTCCTTCCAGCCAGTAGAGAGCACCAGCAAGGTTTCAGCTCCTCGGCAGTCTCCTCCAGCTTCCCACAGCAGACCTGCACCAGCTGCTTCAGCGGGACAGTCTAAAGTTGCTTCTTTTCCTTCTCTACCTAAAGACGTGGCTATTGAGAAATACTCAGGACTGCGGCTCAGGTCAGATGTGATGTCTTTGTTTTTTTGGCCATCAGTGGAATGCCTCAAGTTTTTGTGTTCAGTGTGTCAGTCTGAATTTATGACCTTTCTTATTTTAGAAAACCGCGGGTTTCCTCCAGCGACATGGACCGCAAGATGGCTGACCGCCGCCTGATCCGTCTGTCACAGGTGCCGGAGCGTTTGACTCGGGAGAAGCTGGAGGACAGCGACTGGGTGACGTTTGCCGTGCTGGTCAACAAAGCCACGCCGCAAAGCAGCAGCAGTGTACGTCTATATATCCAGCACAGGTTGACTGCATGGTCTGATGTGTGACAAATTGTAGGTTATATAGGTCTAGATTTGAGGAAAACTTTGTCATAAACACTCACTTATTATTTACTTTAATGAGGGTTTATTTTACGGAGTTTGCTACGTCAATGTCAGTGTCCTGGCATTAGCAAAATAGATGCTTCTATGTCAAAGAATGGAGGACAAACGGTCACTTCAAACAAATAGCAACGTGACTTTAAAATCTGAATACATTTTATGTGCAAGTGAAAACACTGAATACACAGATGTTAAAGCTGTGAAGCGGCAGACAAAATTACTTTCAGATCTTTGCCTATAAATCTCTCGTCTTTTTGCTTCCGGATGGTGAAATGTTCCTGTCACATTCCTGTCTGCAGGGCAAAACCTTCAGCATCTGGAAACTCAACGACCTCCATAACCTGGATGTGTTTGTATCTCTGCTGCTGTTCGGTGAAGTCCACAAAGAGCACTGGAAGACGGAGCCGGGCACCGTCATCGGACTCCTCAACCCCAACCCCATGAAGCAGAAGGATGGATACGACGGGGTGAGTGGACCGCCTCCACTGTATCTACTGTGTGTTCTAATGCAGTGGTTCTCAAACTGGGGGTCGGGACCCCCATGGAGGTCCCAAGATCATTTCAGGGAGTCGCCAGATCATTGTAAAAAAAAAAACAACAACAACAAAAAACCTAAAGCCTACATTTATCAAACATAAAGCCTACATTAATCAAATAAATGTGTATCAGGGCTGTCAAAATTTAAAGTGTATCCTTCTTCCCACTCCTTTTTCAGACTTGGTAACTTTATGATTTGATTATGTGATATTATTATTCTTTTTTGCTCTTTCTTAAATTATTTTCTTTTGTTTCTAGATTTTTTTTCCCTTTCATTTGTTTGAAATAAATTCAACTCATTCATTCATTCAAAAGAAAATTAACGTGTTAATGTAAAGAGATTAATCTGTGGAATTAACACATTCATTTTTAACGCATTAATGAATGAACAACAAAGTTATGACTCATGCCATATTAACAATTCAAATTGGGGGGTCACAAACACAAACTTATATTATCTTGGGGGCCGTGGCTCAATGGACAGTTTTCGTGATCACATTGCTGCTGTGGTCCAAGTAGCATTTCTTACATTTAACATTTTTTGTCACTGTTATGAGCTCAGTAATGCTACAGTCACCAGAGATGTTAGAGGTCAGGGGACTTGCTCGAGGGCTCCTCAGTGCTGGTAAAGACATTGGTTTTACTTTCTCCTCCCAGATACTTCCTGCAAATTTGAGGATCAAACCTTCAACTGACAAGGTCTTTAAATGACTATCTACATTTAAAATGTAATCTAAATCTGCTGAAATAGTTGCATGCCACAAACTAAACTTGGCCCAAATTACAGCTTAATTTGGAGCGCTTAAGTATAAGTTGGTTCATTTGTTATTTTCCAACACCTCAGAAGCTGATTTTGCAAAACAAACCTCAGCACTTTGTTTAGATTTAGGCCACACTGAAATGTGTGATTCTTAGCTTGTTACTCTGAATATCAACAACTGTGGTCCAGAAAAACCTGTTTTACTGATGTTTTACAGAGTCTGGGATAAGATTTTTTTAAAATCTCTAACTGGTTTGGCAACTGAAGCGTACGCCGTTTAAAGCAGAAGACAGATTGCTGGTTTTACCAAGATTGCTGGTGTCAGTGTCACATGACTAACTAAGATGTTAAAGAGAGGAATGCAGTGAGGAAGCCACACACACACACACACACACACACACACACACTACCACCCACAGAGGGCAGTCTGAGTTCCAAACACCTAACGTCAGGAGAGACGGCTTCATCTCCACTACAGAGTGAGACGCAGCTTCTCAGAGCAAACTCTAAATCTCACTGACACTCTTACAATCCACAAACATCTTCATATCAACATTCAGTTCTACACTCAGTGGTGTAAATTACATCTACTCTGTACTTAGGCTCAATTTGGTCTTACTTGTGTTTTAGTTGAGTAATTCTATTTTCTGATGCTTTATACGTCTACTATAAAGGCAGATACTGTCCTTTTTGAATCCACTACATTTATTTGATAACTTTAGTTACTAGTCACTTTGCATATTCAGATAAATAATACAAAACATCATTAGTACATTCATTATGATGTAGCATAGAGTTGTTAGAGAGTCCCACAGTGACGCCTTATTATTAGGATAAGATTCAACTTATTTGATCCCCAGCAGGGAAATTGACAAACAACACAGCAGTGGAATAAAAGCATTAAAATCCAGTAATGTACGTTCTTGTGAAATGGGCCATTTTGCATATTTAGCACTTTAACTTTCGGTACCATGAGTTTGTTTTGATCGTATTTCTTCACTGTGGTTTTGTTGCTTTTATTTAACCACCAGATCTGAGTACGTCTCCCACCAAGGTCTACCCTGGTATGGCAAAGCTGTTAAAACCCTCCTGGGGCTGGAGGCAGCTTTGTAGCAGCTTGTCTGGGTTTTTTTATGCTGACTGGATGGATGGTCGGGTTAGAAAGCTAATTTTGACTCTGGGTTCCAGTGAATGCAATAGCTGTCTTTTGAAAGCTGAAAAAGTAGTTTTTAGACATTGAAATCCATGTTTTGCAGCGCTATCAACATTCATTTTTGTATTTAAATATGGTTTAAAGTAGTTGTTTGGCTGCAACTAAAGATTATTTTTACTACCGGTACTTATAAACTGTACTGATTAGTCATTTTGTCTATAAAAAAAAGTCACAAAGCTAATTTTATCTCATCAACAGTCAAAACATATTCAACTTATAATGATGTAAAATTATATTTATATTGTAAAAATACTGTTTTTGGCCTTTTTGCTTAAAAATGACTAAAATTAGTTGATTGTCAAAAAGAGTCTGTCAATCAGTTAAGTACAACTCAGAAAAATGCACGTAATACATTTGCTTAAATGAAAAAGAAATGAGAAAACTAAATAAAAGAGATGATTTGTTGTTGCTTAAGTTTCTTAGAATATATTTTGTGTTTTGTGTCGCTTGTTCCGACAATAAGCTGTGAAAATAAACGCTTGTGTTGAACATGTGCAGGTGAGTCTGACGGTGGATCACCCACAGAAGGTGCTGCTGATGGGTGAAGCTCAGGACTACGGAACCTGCAAGGCCATGAAGAAGAACGGAGACCCGTGTTCTCAGATTGTCAACATGGTTGGTCCATTTTTTCCAACTGCACATTTCTTTATACACATTATGCTCCAAGATTTAGTTACACTCCACACTTGCACCTGCCAATTACAAGTCTTTTCCCTAAATTATCAACACATGCATGTAAATCCACATTGTCTCTCCCATGTTCTTTGCAGTATGAGTGCCAGTATTGCCAGTATCACGTGAAGGCCCAGTATAAGAAGATGAGCTCGCACAGGGCCGAGCTGCAGTCTTCCTTCTCTGGAAAAGCCCCCAACAAGGTGAAGGCGAAGGGAGGCGGCCTGAGAGAGCGGCTGTGTCAGGACGGCTTCTACTACGGTGGCGTTTCCTCGGCTGCCTGCGCCTCTTCACTGTGAGTCACGTTACATGTAGTTCAGTGTTGTGAGTGTGTTTTCCTGCCAGTGCTTATGTTTCCGAGTCAGCTCAGTCAGACTTGAGAGATCATTCTACAAACCTTCCTGTTAAGTCTCAGCTACATCTAATAGTGAATATTACAGAAAAGATGGTCAACTCCTACTGTTATGATATCAAAACACACTCAGCCGATCAGGCATGATGCAGTCACAAACCGTCCAGACTGAATTCTAGCTGAAGCTGAACTCACACTTTAGCGGCGTGTGTTGAAGTCAATTTGTGCGAGCTAACTGCAGCCTACACAGCCAAGAACACTGTGTGACTGGGCAGCGTCTGAGCTGCATTACATTTCCAGTAACTAGTCTGTGCTTTGCAGGACTGCGTCCAAACCGAACAAACCTGTCCAGAGAACTCTGGACAAGCTGTTTGTGAAGGGATCGGCTCGACTCGTCGAACAGGCCAAGAGTCTCGGTAAGGACCGACTCGGTCACACACACGGTTTGGACTGAATCCTGCTGGAAGTACTGACAACTCTGTTGGTTAAAAATAGGCTTTCCGCTATCCATTTGTACTTTTGACCCCTGTTGTATATTGTTTTCTACTTCTTCTGTCTTCCTCACTGTTACATGACAAAAAATGTAAGCTGTGAGCTCATTTCTTCACCTTGAAATGTTGTCTAGAAGAGTTTATTTCTCCTTTGATTATTATCGAGATGATGCTGATGTTGTTGCAGTTAGTTACTTAAGTAGTTGTGATCCTGAGAGTAGAGACGTCACGGATCGAGCTTCTGTTTTAATTGTTTTTTGCTTGTGTGTTTATTTAGCTCTGCAGTCTGGTGAAGTTTCAGGTTGTTCAAATGAATTCAAGAGCCTGATGTCGGTGCCAACACCTGGAGCTCTGCAGCTGAAGAAGCACCTGGCACAGGGCAGCCCGTCAGGTACACAAGCAGGACGCATTTATCTTTTGCAAGACAGGTTAAATATTAAAGAACTGTTCAATTACAGGTTGGAAACCCAAAAGTCTGTAGGAATTTCCATTTTTACGTGTCAAATTTACAGATTAAGTAAAAATAACAATAAAAAGCTTTAAAAATATGTCTTTTATGTAGTTTGAAAAGAAAAAACACTGCCATAACTAAATCAACAGCCTGGGATCATCCCAGATTGGTAGCCTAATGTTTCAAGTCTTCTTCATCAGCCTGTTGTTCATCCTCAGTCTCCAAAGATGTAACTGGAGCTCCGGTTCAGTCCATCTCAGCCTCCGACCTGCTGAAGCAGCAGAAACAGAAGCAGCGGGAGCTTCTGGAGAACCGGCGGCGGAGAGCGGACGAGATTCAGAAAAGAGCGCTGCAGAACTCTGGTGGTGCCAGACCAGCGCTGAGCCGAGGTGGCCTGATGTCCCCGAAAGCTGCTTCAGAGGTTCCCAAGGCAACACAAAGCCCCTCAGCGCCGCACACCCCAACCCTGGGCCGAGGTTTCTCTGAGGGGGACGACATCCTCTTCTTCGACAACAGCCCGCCTCCCGCTCCTGCTCCCAGCGCTCTCAACCTATCAGCCGCCAAGCTGGCTGCTCTGAAGAAGCTGAAGGCCAAAGGGCTTGAGAAGGAAGACCCCAACGCTGTGAAGAGGAAGAGGAGCAGCAGCAGTGAGATCAGCGCTCGAGTAGAGAAGAATCGGACCTCACCTAATGGTACACACTCACTTCATTTATTGACATGTTATTGGCTCCTAATTTTTCTTTTTTGGACATGACTTGGCATTGTTGCTTTTTTTTTTCTGTTTTCTACTGTTTTTTTAAACGAGTTGTTCCCTTTTAGCAGTTTCCTACCACATCAGACAGCAATATATGATCAGACTGAAATTCAACTGTGTCGTTAATGTAGCAGCTATCATTTAGCTTCTTATCTACATATCAAACTGTTCACTCTGCATTGTTTCTTAAGTAGCAGTACAATTATGCTGAAAGAGATTTTGGATGTGTGGTTGGTCACAGTTCATATAAGTAAATCATTCAGTCAAAAGATGGGCTGCAAGGTGGTGCTGTAGGTTAGCACTGTTGCCTCACAGCTAGAAGGTCGCTGGTTCATGTCCCGGTGAGGACACCCGGGATTTTTCTGTGTGGAGTTTGCATGTTCTCCCCGTGCAGTGTGGGTTCTCTCCAGGTTCTCTGGCTTCCTCCCACACAGTCCAAACACATGTTGAGGTTAATTGGTGATTCTAAATTGTCTGTAGGTGTGAATGTGAGTGTGCTTGGTTGTCTGTCTCTAAGTGTAGCCCTGTGATAGACTGGTGACTTGTCCAGGATGTCCCCTGCCTTCACCCTGAGTCAGCTGGGATAGACTCCACCCCCACCCCACATTCATCATCTATAAGCGGTGTATAGATGATGGATGGACAGATTCCGTCAAAAGAAATACATTCATGATAGGACTCACTTGCAAATGTGGAGAAATGTATGTGCTTCATTTGTCTAGGAAAATGTAGACTTTTGCATTTACTTAAGCCATATTTTTCCTTCTTACAAACTTACCTGTGCAGGTGAGTCACCCAATAACGAAGAGGAGGAACCAGCCCAGAAAAAGAAACGCGATCAGCTCCGCTACATCCAGTCAGAGGAGTTCCAGAAGATCCTCAATGCCAAATCTCGCCACGGGGCTGCACTCCAAGCGGTATGACAAGTGGAACGACAGTTTACAGCTTTCAGCTCCACTTATTATTACTCATTACACATTTGTACATATGACACACTGTAACGTCTGTTTGATTTCATTACATTCTGTAAGTGAATCTCTCCTCTATCTCTCATCAGGCGGAGTACCAGCTGCAGGAGCGCTACTTTAACGCTCTGGTGAAGAAGGAGCAGATGGAGGAGAAGATGAGGGGCATCAGAGAGATGAAGTGTCGAGCTGTCACCTGTAGAAAGGTACTGAGCCAGAAGTTGAATTAACCCAACTCTGAACCAGGGCAGCATAATTCATCTAATAATAATCACGATTTTGGCTTTCACACTTAAATAAACACTGTCGACTTGATTCAATCTGACACTAAAACACCTTAATTCATTCTTCAACCTGCTGCAGTAACTGAGTGGAGACTAGAGGCTTCTCCGTGCACAGCTTGTGTCTACTGTAGCCGTTACGTGAGGCGTTTAGGGAACATCAGGAAATAATAGCGTTTATCGATAGGCAGCAAGTGAGGTGTTTTGGCTGCAATTTAATTTATATGTTGCTTCTAAGAGATACTCTGAATTCAGGTGATGAACAAGCTTATTTTTAGTCAGATCTTGATGCAGATTTGTACGTTGGCAGGGATGTAGCACAGCATGGAACTAAGAGCTGTTTATTTAAATGTGAAAGTGCAACAAAACTATTAGTCCCTAAAATCAATGAATAATTGTGATAAATAATCATAATTATCATTCTGACCATAGTCCTGCAGCCTCACTCCTAACCCAACTACATGGGATGCGTGTTGAGGATGATGAGTAACCCCTTGATTTTTGTTAGATTTTTGAAGTTAGAAAATGAAGCCATTATTTTCCATGTTCCCACTCCTTCCAGTGTGGTTACACCTACTTCAAACCGGCGGATCGCTGTGTGGAGGAGAACCATGACCTGCGGTGGCACGATGCTGTGAAACGCTTCTTCAAATGTCCGTGCGGTCAGAGAGCCATCGCTCTGGACAGACTGCCACACAAACACTGCAGGTTAGACTGTAAATCTGTCCTCTCCTCTTCCTTTGATAGTTGTTCAGGGTTCCCATCGAAACACTAAAATAACACGTGAGAGTTGACAGTTTCTGTCCAGCTGGGTGGAAACTAAACTGAAAGGCAGCAGCTTGACTTTACATCACTCACCAACACAACAGCAACACACATGTTCTGTTTCTCTTCTTCTTCTCTTGACACATTAATAACTAATGTTTTGCAATTTCTAGCAACTGTGGTCTCTTTAAATGGGAACGGGACGGGATGCTGAAGGTAAAACGTCTCTCGCTCTTGGATTGCCTCTCATTTCAAATTTAAAAACAAAAATCTTATTGCTGTGACAGAAAGCAGAGCTGACGTCGCTCTTTGTGTTTCATTGCAGGAGAAAATAGGACCGAAGATCGGCGGAGAGCTTCTGCAGCCTCGAGGAGAGGAGCACGCCAAGTTCCTCAACAGCATCAAGTGACTTCTGGTTGTTGAGGGAAACAACGTGTATTTAGGTTTTTATCTTTGTAATTTAAGGTTTTAGTAGCATTTGTATGTGTGTGTCAGTTATGTTTTTAAAGTTTTACATGACTTTCTTGTTGATTATCATGATTTGAATGTCTGTGGTGATCTTGGACATGCTGGAAATGGGCTGATTAAAGCAATAACTTGCAACTTTTTATGTCAAATGCCAGTGATTCCACCGTACTGATAAAGAGCTTAGCAGGCACTACTCTAGTGCAGATGTGGAAATAATAGACTTCACGACTAAATATGTGTGGGGATTGGATTATAGCATGAAAGCAGACATGTTTTCCAACTTAATCCAGCAACATTTCATGCAACTCTTCATTTTGTGACTCACTCAGAGGTAATGATTGGTAACTTGATGGTCGCCTGATGACAGTTTGATATGTCTCAGTAGCAAAAACAGTAGTAAAATGTGTCAATCCATTTAGCTGCTTTATGGTCGTGGTGTTGTGCAAACTGGCTCACTGTCACACTGTCGAGACGAACTTAAACAGAACAACAAAATGCTACAAATGAGCCCTATCCCTGTGGATTGTTGAGGTACTTCAGGGAATTCACGCTGGGAAATTATAAGGATGAAACTGGTGTACCAAAAAGGTGGCGAAACACGACGCGCGTAGATTCTCCAACACTTGGATATTTGGTTCTCTGCGACGGCACCGCTCTCCCATATCAGCACACAAACATCCTCTAACGCTCTCCATGTGTCGGCTGCCCGGGCCAGGTGGCGCTCGCTCAAGTCTCCCAGCCAATCCACACGGACCTTAAACAGTAAAGGTTTGAGGTGGAAGCGCAGTATAGAGATAAAATAAGGCTGCTGGATTTGCAGCTGTGTGATTAGCAAGTGCACGGTGCCATGCCACATCGTTGTGAGGGTTTAATTTGTGCTCATTATCCTGTTTGTGCTTCTTTCTTTTTTTTTTCCTCCTCCCTCTCTCGTTTCTTCTTCTGTCTCTTCGCTGCCCGGTTTCTGTCTAATATTTCCACTCTGGAATGTGGGATTCATTTCAGCCTGATGACTTCTGCAGCTCACCTCATCTTCTCTTTTTATTCCACGCCGCCTCCCTGCTTTAAATTCTCCAAATACCAGACAGAGCTGGAGTGAGGAGTCAAAACACATCACTGGAAACTCATCTTTATTCGTCAGTTTAACTTAAAGACATGAAGCTTCTTTGCAAAAAAGAAAAGACAACCCTCCTCCGGCTAAACCAGACAACTGCGTACGTAAAAGGATGATTTATTGTAGTTAATACTCAAGGTAGCACGGTATAACTTGTATGTACAGATAAAAGGCGGTAAAAACAAGCATGCAGAGTGTTTAACTTAGAATACAAAAACTGCACTTTGGATACAGTTTGACATCATATTGCACAGTTTAGGTTTTATAAAAAAAAAAGAGACCTTGTGTATTAAAGTGGGACAAGTACAGAGATAACTTTAGCACTTGCTCTCAGGCTGTCGGTCACCTTTGTTACAGGGTAAAGGTGACGGCAGTGTTTCTGCTCCAGCGAGAGGTGCTGTAGTCCGGCTGTCCTCGCCACGGAGCGCGCTCAGTGGAACCAGTAGTAGCGAGGATACAGGCCGTCGTAGTGATACTCTCGCAGCTGCTCGTTGGTCTCCCTTGATCTCTCATTAATCTCTGTGAATTAAAACAAACAGAAAAGTTGAATTAAAGCTGCTATAATCAATATTTTTTTTAAGAACAGTAGATCACATGAGAACCTGAATGTGAAAGGACTTGATCATCACACACACCAAACACTATCACTGGATTTTGCAGTTACAGAGCTTTATCATGTCATTTTCAGTGTTGTTTTTGTTTTTTGATGCACAGCTTTGTTGTTCTGATTTACTCTCATGGCTCTAACTTCATTTGAGCTGCAGTAAACCACAGTTTTTGGCAAAAAAAAACAGATACACTCATTAAATGCTAACTGTTAGCTGTGACTATACTGGAGCACTTAAAGAAAGAGCAACATTATTTAATTAGCAGAGACACAACAGAGCTAAGATGGCAGAATATTGGCCTGAAACATTATTCCAAATGAATGCTGGTAATTTTTTTGTACAGCATCGACCACGTCAACTTTAAACATATTCGTCCTTTTTCGGGTTCATGCTAGCAACCCCCCAATGTTAGCATGCTTCAGTGGTTGTGAAGTGGCGTACATTTATTCTTGATGGTGTAATTCTGAGAAGTAAAAATCAGTCATGTTAACCTCCTAATTACACTTTTAAATCTCATATCAGTCACTCTTTGCAGATATTTCTGACACATTGTGAGTCCAACAGCAAATCTGTCGACCACCTGCTGACAAAATGGCGGCAAAACCATCATCGCTTACAGCTGCATCCACATAAAATCTGAAATTATCGCCTTATTCTGTTAGATAGTCAGTAAAAGAGCTAATAAATGCTGTCTGTTTTGTATCTGGTTTCACTTTTTGGTGACATGTGTTGTGATAAAAATCAAAAGCTATTTTAAGCTTTTCTGCCTGGTATAATGAGATAAACCATTCTTAAGTGATGCAGGAAGCCGATGTTCTTCACATTCTACCAACGTCGTGCTGAATGCACGTGTCAAAGTGTCAACAATCTATAGAATCTATAGACTGCAAACGATGTGTTTTTAGCCTCTGGAACTGTTTTTGTTTTCTTGTATAAACTCATTGACCCAAATCACTGTGTATCTTAATTGTAAAACCCAGTCACATCTTTATGGTTAGCAGTTCTTAGTTTAGAAACTGTGAGTGAAGCTATATGACAGCTGACAGGCCACCGCCGGGAAGATTGTCAGCTCTGGGGTGGACCACAAATGGACACTTTGATTCGGTGTGGAGTCTCAGGCACTCCGCTGTGGTCCAGAGGCTCGTGGGCGCCGAGAGCGTCGTTCAAGATCAGAACTGAAACTCTGTCCCTCAGTGTGTTTTCTACTGAATCCTCTTGTGACAGCTGACACTGAAGCAAATGTCAGGTTTTCCCTTTGCAGTCTGTGGGTTTTCCACAAGACTCAGCTCAGGTTAGACCTCACAGCATCGCAGTCATTCCTGTGTTCCCAAATATATGCTGCACTCAGTCAGCGATGGTATATGGAAAAACCAAACACTTAAATCAGATTTTATAACGCCATGGCAGCTGTATGATACATGACGCATCCCTTCACCCAAAATGCCGTTTGCCTGCTTTGTAGCAGTCGAACCAGGAAGCTTCCAGCCAATCGTTTTGCTGCACTGACACAAAGTGTGGTGTTTTAAAACGTTAAATCGTATTTTTGGGCAAACTTTTAAAGATTTGACTGGTGATTCGTTACAAAAACCCTAACAGCTTTAGGTAGAAACAACTGGGCTCGAGGATGTTTCATCTGTCATCCAAGAGGCTTCTTTAGTTCTATATATGCAGTCTTTATGTCCCAGTTATCACTGCAACTGTAGTTATGTCTCATTTATTTATAGAGGAAACCAGTCTGTTAATAATGGTTCAGGGGTGTCCCCAGGATGACTGTCAGGTGGTGAGACTTGCCTAAAAGGACTTTTGTTCCATTTACCGGATGTCCTACTTGAGTTGAAGACAAGAAGAAGGAAAACCAAGATGTACACCTCCAGGTAAACCTTCGTTTCTGGGTTAGCCAGTGATGATAAAGAGATATGATGGCGTAAAAATACTGTAGCAACACGTCCACAGATAGAAGTTGGACTGTACTGTGTGTATGATTGAATTAATGAGACACAAAAAAAACAAAAGTGCTAATTAAGAGTAAAATACTCCAGCTTTCACTATCTGGTTATGTTCTGATCAAGCATCTTGGATTTTTAGGTCAGTGTTGTGAAGGTTCTTCTGACATTTGAAGTCAAAAATGTGACGACAGCAGGACTCAGAAATGAAAAATTGGTTTTGTTTTGTTATGCACCTGTTTGTTGCTTTGTTAGATAAAAAAAAGCACAACTAGAGATTAATATTCATTAAACATCTTAACTAGAAACAGGTAAACTAACCTGAATATAATAGAAAGGTTTATTTCAGTTCAGTTTTGCTTCTATAGCACCAAATTCACACCATAGGTCATCTCAACTTTACAAAATCTGCTGCTGTCATGCATTTTCATGACTTCACCCTCTGTTCCTGGGAACACAGACTACAGGCAAACATTAGACATGGAGCAGAATCCAGGTCTCACCATCACGGTCCTCCTCGACGTAGTTCTCGTACTCGTTCCTCTGCTCCTCGTTAAACTCCCTCCTTCGCTCGCTGGCCGCGATCTTCACCCTCTGCTCGGCTGTGGACGACAGGGACGGACAGGAATCAGTAGGAGGGAAGCCAAAAGTTAGACACTCACAGATACTGAACACAGATAAGTCTGTCCTGTTTCCGCTCTGATTCTGCTGCAGCCTTTTCTAACACCTCAGATCCTTTTTACACATGCAAGCATAAAGGTTTGGTTGTGACAGACGCACTGATTCAAGCGTTAGATGATTCACTGTATCATCTGGTAGCCTTACTGAAAATCCTTTAAGATGCCAACTTGGCATGTGTTTTTCCCATCATCTCATCTCTCAAAAATTCTTCTGAACATTACTAAATGCAATTCTGCTTTCATGAATGTTCACCTGGTTGCCTTAAGGTACTTCAGGTGTCTCCTGCTCTGTGGTTTACAGCCTTTAAATCATTAAACTGGAGGTGCAAATCCCTTAAAGAGTCACATATCTTAACCAAATGACTATTCACGTGGATATTTATCGGGCTATTTTGGTTTCTCACACCTATTTTAACTTAAAATTGGGATAAACATCATAAACACTGGATGAACTGGGTTGTACTGGGTGTATTTTACACTTCTCTTATGCTTCCTGTCAGTGCAGAACCAAACATCCCCACCCATGCAGGTACAGGGCAGCCTCTGTAAATATTACTGCTCCGTCTGTGTAGTTTTTTTTTTATTAATTCCCCTCACTTTAACCTGAATTACAACAAGCTTGTAAGTGTTAGAGTTACATCACAGCATCTCAGTCAGTAAACACGTCCACCTGCGTCCTCACTGCAGACGTATTTTCCCTCCAAATAGAGCGATGATCTGAGGCTGTAGGAAACATGGCTCGCACCCACATCCAACACAAGCTTCTCTCCTGTCAGCAGGTATTTGTGCTGCTTCTCAGTTTGTTCCTATCTAACTTTCAAGATCAAACAACCTGATCAAGTATTAGTACTCCCTCTAAAATACCATTTTAGAGCTAAACTACTGAACCACGTATATTTTTTCATTCCCCTTGGCAACAGCAGGATGCTGCATGGAAAAGTATGGAATTTGATTTGAGTGATTTCCAGCTCAGGATAAGGATGGAAAGAGACGAGCGAGGATAGAGAAATATTAATGTTTCCATGCTGTTGCCCTGCTCTTTTTGAAAATATAAATCTGGGAATTTTTCAAAAATGAGTTAATGATACAAGCAGAATGTTTTTCATGGAATTTGGAGCAGACAGTCGGCGCAGCCCAACAGTTTACCGCTGTTAGCCGGGGCGAGCTTGATGTCATTGAAAAGTGGACATGTGACACTGTTACACAGAGCTGCCACTACGTCTGCACGTCACTAACCTGCAAAACAGCTCTGTCTCCAGACCTCCACCAAATTAGTTTGAAAGAAAGTGCAGTAATACATTTGAATTGCATAACAACCTAATATGACAAATAACCAAATATTAAACTTGTCTGAACATTTATGAATCGTGCTGTGATGTAGTTTTCAGAAAGTCACTGCTTTATTATTTCTGCATTAGGAAACCCTCATGACTGTGTTCACTGTATAAAGAAAGCTGCATAGACAATGTGGAAGTGGATTTATTTAACTTTTTTCAACTCATTTTCTTCCCCTTTTTAGTAAAGAGACAAAAACATGTGTGGATTGATCATGTAGTATTATTGATTTGATATTTTAAGGGAAAATAATATTGTAGTCTAGGTAGCAGTGATCCCCTTTGGGCAGTGGTTTTGTTGATTTTCTTCTGGCTGTGCATTGAGCATACAGTATTTGGGTTTGGCTTTAGCTGATTTATAAGAGCCACATACCGAGATCTGTAATTGTCTGACCAGTATTTGGCAATGTGAAAGCACACGCAATCAGAATGTAACATACAGATTAAAAGTGGGATTTATCAGCTAGATATTTGTACTCAAATGTCAAGTATGGTCTGAAAAATCCACAAAGAAGTCTGGAAATATGAGTCTGGAAAAGTCTGGAGTTTTAAAACGGAAGATGTGTCGGAACCCTGGTGGTTTAGATTTACAAAAAAAGAAATGTCAGTGAAAATAAAATAGAGACAAGTCCATCTTTTAACTGTAATCAGTCTGTTGTATAGACTGTTCATAAAAGTTTTGTGTAGCAACTGTTACATAATCCATTCAATTTTAGGACTAGTGGTTTGAAATCTCAAGTTTGGAATTTGGTCCTTTGCTCCATTGTCCAGATGAACCATATGTAAACCTTATGTATCAGTGGATCTGACTGAGAACTCAAAGACACTTCACACAGCAATATGGTAGCAGGTTGTCAATCACATGACAATACACATCCTGCTTTAATGCTGTTTTACTCAATCAAGGACCATAATTTCCTAAATGAACATCATGCTGTGTTGGAGGTAACTTGAAACTAAAGGTTGGGACCATATAGTCATTTTAAAATATTTACTGATGTAATAAAACATATATAAAGTAGGATCATTTTCTCATTGACTTCTATACAATCAGGTTTCTTTTTGCAACCAGAGGAGTCGCCCCCTGCTGGCTGTTGGACAGAATGCAGGGTTAAGACGCCTCACTTTTAGTCTCCGAGGCAACATCCTGCCCCATCCAACTACTGTCCAGATGAAAAAATGCTTGATGGATTTCCAAATTTTGTACGAACACTAATAGCTTTGTTCATGGCATTAACAATGTCACTGTGAGCCTGTTGATGTTAACATTTAGCCCAAAGCACAGCTGCACATCAGTGTGGCCTCACAGAGTTCTAGCCTCGCTGTAGACTCTTAATGTCATTATTTTGTCTTTAGCATTTATTCCACTACCACTGAACACGGAGCCTGTTAAAGTGATAAGCACTATGCAAAATCTACTGCTTGTCACAAAGTCTGACAAATGTCTAAAACACAGTGTCCTTGTCTTTGCTAACCGCTTTTCCTTGACATCTGAAGAAAATATCACAAGGGGGAAATAATAAGGAGTTCTAGAAAGAGAACCACGGCTACAAGAGAGCTGCACTGAAGTCACACTAAGTTATGCAACCATCCAACATCTGTTGGAAATATTGCATATACCTGATTTGTGTGTCTTTTAAATATTAGTGAGCATGGAAGTAGCTTTCAGCTTCCTTCAGTAAATCTTTTTGCATACTCTCAATGGAAAAGTCCCCGACACACACACACACACACACACACAGTCACAGAGCTGCTTTGGGTCGTCATGGACTGAGCTGGCAAGGATAACAATCAAACTTTTTCCAAGAACGGGGGTCTGTTTGTCCTCAGCTACGCCCTGATTATTGCTCCGATGGGCGGCCGAGGTGAAGCGACCCACAGCCTGTCTCTGGAGGCCTGCTCAGGGGCACACATGCTTCACCTGATGGGTTTCCCAGCAGGAAAGAGACAAATTAACACAGACAAGCTTCAGTGGAAGGACAGAAATAACTGTTCTCACCTGTGTTTTGGCAAATATGGCCTTTTCTGTTAATTGAAGTAACAGATATGTGTGTTTGCTGCTTCTGACAAACTGATTTGGGCACTCAGATGTGTTTGGGAAGTTGTCGTGAAACACTTTGCATAAGTGTGTGTGTTCACTTGCTTCAAAGGTGTGTTGTGTGTCGAGCTGATGCTGGCAGCGGAACAATGAGCTTATTGTACCGAGAACTGAGAGCGGGAGAGTCTGCTCCATAGTAACCTGTGACTCCTTCTGCAGCCTCCAGCTTCTGTGTGAGCTGCACCTGCTTGACTTCGCTCTGTTCTACTTTCACAGCTTGCAGTCAAAACAAACCACATCATGTTCCGAGTCCAACCACAAACCAATAAACCAACAGCCCCACACGCACCTTCACATGCATGAGCTGTCGATGGGAGGCCAAACATGCAATATTTAAGGCTCTCCACAGTGTGGCCACATCAACCACTCAGGTAGTGCCTGGGAAAGCCAACCACACATTACACAGAACAGAAGTAAACACACCCTCCTTCACTGCCAGCCTCCATTTCACACCACAAACCAACCACTCTGCTCGTTCTCTACCAGTGTATTGACAAAACAGCCTTCAATTTTTAACAGAATTGAGATCAAACGTTGCACTTATAACCATAGACCAACAAGCAGACAGCATTAAAACAGCTTCCCTCCTTATCTTTGCTGTTTGTTGAGCAGATGTTGGGCAGTGTACCTTGGAGCTCATAATATCGGACGGAGCGGCGAGTGCGGCGTTTGAAGAAGTTGGAGGCGTCCGACTCGGGCATGAACACCTGCCGCGCGGCACCTGAGGGTCAGAGGTCGTAAAGTCAAGGCCACATGAGGAGGACGTGTGACGCAGAAGTTATATAAAATGGCTGAAAGGGTTGTAAAGGCGTCACCTTTAGGATCAGCTGGTTTTGCGTCATCCCGTACCGCCGCGCTTTCCACCACACTGGAAACTGAGGATGAAAGGAGAAACTCTTATTATGTACGTTTTAATGTATAATACTGTCAGCTGTTGTCTGTATCCCATCAATAATAAAGGCCAGTGTTATATAAAAACCCCATGTGTCTACTGAATGGACTCCAAATGCGGCACTTGCACCAGATTGTGCATTTTCTAAAGAGCAACCTGATGTAGCTTCTCCTTCAGGTTCAGAGTTTATGACTTGAAAATGAGACAACAGCAGAAAGTGGAACTTCATTCTTGACCAGTGTACAGACAGTTATCTTGGTTATTATTGTCCTTTAAGATCAGGATGGTGGAAAGTAGCAAAGTTTACTGAAATACTGTCGACAAAATCTTTCCACTCAACTACATTTCTGAGGGAAAATAGTTATTTTTAACAGACTCGTTACATTTCAATAATAGCTTCAATTACTTTACAAATTAAGACGCTGCACACAAAACAGATGAAGAATTAGTTATACATAAAACTACCCAACATTCACAGCTAAATTATTAGTCGATGAATCAAATTAGGTAATTAACAGAAAATTGGAAATTGTTTTGATAATTGTTCAGCACTTGTGATGGCATCCTTGGCTACTTTTTAGAAACCAAAGAATCCACTAGTTAATGGAGAAAAAATCAGCAAGTTAATTCAAAATAATTACAATTGAAATAATTAGATTTTTAAAAAAAAGTTTGATATGAGTTTAGTCTAAACCAGCTACAGCAGTAAAATCCTGCTTAATGCATGAGTAATAATTACCAAATGACATAATACTGGATAGTATAATAGTAATTGGGAACATTGTTCAAGTGCTTTATCGTAATTTAAAAACCTTTTCGTAATAATACTTACATACTTTTACTTACGTATCATTTTTAACTGAACTTTTCAATCTAACAGAGTATTTTTAATGTGGTATTAGTAATTTAACATCAGTAAAAGATATGAATACTTCCTTTATCACTGTTGACGTTCCAGAAAACAGCAGGTTTAAAGGATGTGAAGCCTTGCAGAGCCTTCTAGCTTGAAGCAGCAGATCACCAGTTAAACTATGTGATTAAAAAAATACTGAAAGAAGCCACAGGGACAATAAATAAATCCTTAAAAAAAATACAAATAAAAGCTTTCCTCGGCCTGATTTAGTGCAAAACCAGTAAACTCTGCTTTCATCTGACTAATTGCAGTTTACAAATTTCTAATTCCTGCCTCTACGCTGTAATTTCGCGCCGCTCTCTTCAGATTTGTGCTGGTCGTTGGCATCGTGACGTGCGCCCCACCCCGCCGTGCAGCGATTGGTCTGAGCCGCTCAGTGCTCCTTGGTCCTCCTCAATCATATCTCATAATGAAAACATGAGATTAAGGTTTGCCTCAGAAAGACTAATGGACGTCCTCGATTGAAATTACAGCCCGTATTCCAGTCTTTGAATTAAAGAATCTCGCTTACTCGGCTCATACACGCAAACAAACAACACTTCCAGAGCCTGTCTGCCTGACTCACTTGTCAGACGTTACTTGGATGCAAACCTGGATGCAGATCATATTAATTGTACATGTGATGCAATGATAAGTGATTTTAAGTCTTAAAAATTGAGCCCTCCAAACAAGACTGCAAATTTCATGTCTGCAAAATGTCAATATCTTGCTGACTTTACAAATTTACAATCTGAAAAAGGCAGAAAGTCTTATTTAAGGCGACAGAATACTTCAAGAATAGTAAATATTGGCATCCATATTAAAGGACACCCACACATATCAGTGATTTACACTCTGCTCTCCCCCAAAGATGTCACATTCACCCTCTTTTCCCACCAAACCCAGACGAGATACTCACAGGTGAGGATGAGGAGGGTGGTGAGGAAACACAGGACGAGCACTCGAGTCCAGGACATCTTGAGAGAGAGACGCAAAAACTCTACGGGACTTAACAGCACACCTAACGGAGCTCTACTGAGAGAGGAGAGGAAGATGAGGGAGGGAAGGGAGGAAGGTGGGAGAGGCAGGGAGGGAATGGGAGGAGAAAGAAGGGAGGAAAAAAAAACAAGGTTCAAGGAGGGGAGGGAGGCTGCTGGAATTTCAGTTGCCCAGGGGAGGAGATGAAGAGAGAAGGAAGTGAGGGAGAGGAGGAGTGATGAGGTCAATTAAAAGACGAGTTTATCAATTAACTTCATACACATTCACATGAGGAGAAAACTGATCACAGACTGACTAGATGATGCTGAGATCTGGACTTTCTTTTCTTGTCGCTGGCTGTAGTTCTTTATCAGGCTGCAGGATGAACTGGGGACCAATCACACGGCTTCCTGTTAGATAAGAATCTAAACTTGTACCAGCACTGCACTAATACATAATGAATCCCAGTGCAAGAAGTGCAGCAATCAGTGCTGTTTGCTACAATGCTTAAGTCCTTCTTTCCTACTAATGAAGGTTTTTATACTGAAATCTCGGTGTAGCAGCTTAAACAAACTCCATCAGCAGTCAGTCCTCTGGTCAGGTCCTGCCAGATCTATCTTTACTGCATGTCATACTCCTGATTTCTTTTCCAACATCCCCTCTGTCTCTACCATCAAATGTTTCCTCTTAGCAGATAAAATACACCAGCCATAATGTGAAATCAGGTTTCTGGATACTTGGTAAATGTAGCTGCTCTACTTTCACCTGTTTTTTATCTCCACCAAGTCCTGGAGGAAATATCTGTCTCTTAGGCAGTTAAATGTTCCACTATGTTCAGTAGCTGGTTGCCAACCTTGTGTGCCTTTGTGTAACACAAGTTTCTAGAGCTTTTCATTCAACTAGTTGCTCGTTGTGGCCAGAAACAGGCAATCAAGTTCATCTATGTCGCAGCTTTTCATACACTGAGATTGTTTAGAGGCAAAGGTAAAATGCAAAACACAGCAGAATGAAGTTAAATTAATCCAGTTAAATGAATCAGAAGCTAAATAAAGTTCATCAAATCAAATCAAACTTTATTTGTAGAGCATTTTTCATACACTAGAGCAACTTTACAGCATTTCAAAACACTGTAAAAGAGAACAAACAAACAAACAAACAAAAAAACCCTGTCCCTCCCACCCTCCATGCATACTCATACACACACACGGCTACAAATGCACTCACACACCCACACACACACACACGCGCACACACACCACTGGACTTCGGGAAGCATGGCACGGCACTGAGGATTGTGGGAAACGCTACCATTGGGGCCGTCCACACCGGGAGGAGTCGCAGACCGTGACCACCAGGGGCACCCGGACCCCCGACCTGGCAGACAGGGGGATCCCCACAACGAGGTGGGGAGCCCCCCAACCAGCCGGGCCAAAGGGACCCGCAGACAGGACCCCCAGCAGTAGACCGGACACAGCCCCAGTGTGGAAGACCCCCCTAAAGAAACACTGGAGTTAAAAACTAAAAACTTTAAATAATACACAGATAAAGTACACAATACAATAGAAAGTGAATGAAAGTAAACCCAAGTTTGATGCAAGTAGAGCAGTTTAGATCAGACTTTATGTGATAAGTAAAAGCAGTGAAATACAGAACTGTCTTCAGCTGATGTCTAGACTGTTTCTAGAGGAGCTGGATCCAGCAGCATAATGACTGAACACCATCTCACTGTGTCTGATCTGAACTCCACTAACTGATCAGTTCCTGCTTCAGCCAACACACAGCAACCGAAACAATGAGCTGAAAGACACCAAACTGCTCCACAGAGCTAAAAGCAACCGTAGAGTTGGTGATTATTCCTTCATGTGTGACTGTCAGCAGCTTCTTTCACATTATCAATAATGACGTCAACTAATGTGAATGTTAAAGTGTTGATTAAAGCATTAAAGCCTTAAAATGCATACGTAGAGGAGAATTATATCCAGTTCACTGTGAGATCCTAAAGCTCAGATACTATGTGCCATAGGAGACGACTGTCGGTAATGAAGACTCTCTGCTTCTGTTTCTAATTCTAAGAGGGAGTCAGGATGGAATATAACCCGAGGAAACTGTGGCTGGTCTGCTGCTTTTGTGACTGCTGCAAGTAATCACACAAGGAGACAAACTCCTGCACTGCAAATTGGTGCATATGAGAACGCTAGTTTTTAGTGCTCACGGCTTTCAGTGTGTTTCCTCTGACGTCAATCAAGTAATTTTTTTGTTTTTAAACTCATATGCATTCTTGATGTTTGTGGGCAAGCTGACATGAAGGAAGACTGAGCAGTTACCAAATCCTGGAAGTCGGCGGCCCTTTTGTCTCTGTGGGTGGGTGAAGTTCAGACAGTCTGTAGAGAGATGTCGTGTTTTTGTGTTTCTTTGCATCAGGGCTTGAATTTGCTGCTCAAAGTTCATGAAGCTTGAACTGGTCTGAGGTGAAGCAAGTGGGTCAGTTTGCAGAATCAACTTTGAAGTGCAAACAAGTTCAAAGCTGACATCAGTCACAAATCCCATAAAAATAAAATATAATTTATACTTTGTGTAGGAATTGCAAGATATTAGCACTTTGTGAATTTAACAAGCATGCTGCTGTGCATTGTTACCTGTCTATACTGTATGTGTGTTTCCCTTGCAGTGTGTGCAGGTGGTAACATCTTGTCGCTGTGCTGAAGCCTTTCATTATCGCTCCAGCTATGAATGATCTCAGGATTTAGCGTACATACCATATTCCACTAACCCGTATTTAATGCTGCAGCATGCTCAAGTTGGAAAGTAAATTGATCTCTGTAGGTTTTTTACCCTGCACTGTGTGTGATCTACTGAGATGTGTTTCCTCTGAAGGAAACTGGGCAGAGGCGACGGGCCGCTTTGCTCAGAAAAACGACAGCAGATCTGCAGTCTGGGAAACATTTAGCAGTAAATAGGTCTGTAGTCAGAGAAAGTATTTGCTGCATTTTTGTGAATGTGCAGGTGTGTACAAATATGGGCTTTTGTATGTGTGTGTTTTTGGTTGAGTGATCAAGCATGTGTGCATTGTTTGCATTCTGTTTGTTTCTTCATATACGGCGCCTATAAAATATATTCACTCAGCTTGGCAGTTTTCCCCTTTGATTACTTTTCAACATTTAATCGTGTCTTAAGTCATCTGGAAGACGGTTCTTTAGCTTTTGGCTGTCAGACTAGACACTATGTTTGGCAAACACCAAATCACATCACAAATGAGCCCTCCCATGTTGAAGCGTGGGGATGAATACTGGCTTGTGACTCCTTCAGAGGAGTCATAGGTGTCTTGGTGGCCTCAGTCATGAGTAACTTTATTGCACAGTCACTCAGTTTTTAAGGACGGTCTACTCTAAGCAGATTTCCAGGGATATTCTGTGAATCTTTTTGTCTCCATTCACAGATTTTTGCTTTCCAATAGCCTTTTAGAGTGTTTGTTTGTCTTCATGGTGCAGCTACAGGCAGAAATGCTGATTCTCCAGTGACTGCACCTCCCAGACACAGATGTCTTGATACTACAGTCATTGAGACACATTCACTGCACTCTCCATTTCACTAACTGTGTGGCTTTTAGCACCAACTGGCTGCACATGGCTTGAATTAGATGAGTCACTTCCAAGGGAGCAAATACTAATGAAATCACTTTTTTTTTAACTTTTTATATTTTTAATTAATTGAAATTACTTTGTCGAAATCTGTTCTCACTTTCGCATGGAACAGTCTTCTGTAAATTCTTCCATTCGAGGGCTGATGCTATGATAACCATGATATTTAAAAATATATATATATAGTAATACACATATAATAGTGTTGTTAATATTTAGGTTTGCACTTCTACATAGGAACAAAGTACGTTACACTTAGAGACTCCTACACCTCCCTACGTGTATTTTGAATGTGATTCATTTGCTACAGATTAATTAAATCAATCGTTTGTTGTTGTTTTCTTTTATGTTTATAGATGCCTAGATAATACTGTTTGTCCACAATTATCATGTAGTGAAGATCTGATCTCATGATAACCGTACATACTGACCATGTATGTAAATCATGTATATTTGTGTGTGGAGAGGCAGAAAAGCAACACCTTCTTCTTCTGTGGTGCTGACTGTGACAAAGCCTCAACATTTCAGCTCTCTTGCATGTGAATGAATTTCCTGCATATCTGAATTAAACTAAGAGCTGCGAGCCTCCCTCTGGGTCTTGAACAAAGACCCCGTTTAAACACACCCACATGCACACACTCCGAGCTGTGCTGGCTCAGGTGTTGTTTTTTTCAGGGGGTTCCAGCGGCGTGGGGAGCCAGGAAATAGCTCAGGCCTCCATCTGAAAACAGCAGCTCCCTATGAGACCAACGGTTACTGAGAGAGTTGCACAACGTCTTTATGGTGCTGCTTCAAACAGCGCTTTGTTGCACGATTCAGTTTTGACAGCATTCACAGCTTTTAGATCTCTGATATTTGGTCTTATATAGCAAAACAAAAGGAGAAATCTGTGTGGAATTGGGGGAAACATCAGGTAGAGTTCACAACTATTTTCATGTGAATCATAATAGATGATAATAAAAGAGTATACACCGGTCACCTTCAGGGTACCATGCAAACTGCAGGGAGAACTAAACAGTGCAATACATGCAAATGGAAATTTCAATTAAAGTTTTTTTATCTACCTATACATCAATTATTAGATATTTAATCTGTTTATTCTTTGTGTAGTAATTTAAATTTCAATGCAATGCTGCAAAACACATCATGAAAACTGTATTAACACGACCGTATCAGACATTTAGTGCAGCAGCTAAAATAAAATAAATTGCTTTTTTCTCCTTTTTTCCTTCCACCACTGCAGTATATTCACATGTATCACTGTGCTGTTGATTTAACTGCTGCTCAGGTGGGTAATAATACATGAACAAATGCTTATAAACACTTTATTATGAAGGAGATCGCTGTATTCTAATGACCAGTATGAGCTGTACATTTCAGATACTCAGTGAGAATATTGAGTTCAAAGCTAAGAGTCAGTGGAAGTCAGTTTGTCTCGTTGCCGTGAGCATATTTTAACCGACAGCTGAGTCGAAGCAAGTTCAGACCTCGGCCTGATGTTTTTTTCCTGCTGCCTGAATCCAAACTAAGCAACACGGCTCTCAAGCAGCTTGTTTACCAACCTGTTTCGCAACCTGCATTCCTGCCGACGTTCAAATCAGATCGTAGATAAGACGAGAAGAGAGTAGATAAGACTCTGGTGATGATCTGGCAGTATTTTGTTGCGCTCAGCGAACTGCCCATGATTCCTTGTTTCGTAAGGCCTTTCACTTTGGTTACGCAATTTTACATTTCCATCCCGGATGAAGCACATCACAGGTTTGTAGTTCGTTAACATTTTCAGGTGTCAGTGTTATTGTTTGACCACCAGAGTTCACATAGTGTCATTATTATTATCAGGAACAAAGTGACCTATTCAATAAATTTCCTGTAAGCCTCCATAAAATCTGTCTTTAGGCTTCAGCTTCTCGTGGATGCAAACAAGAAACAAAACGTTAATGTCTAATATGTTTTATATAACTAACCAGCTCAGTACTAACTTGCTTTCATGTCAAAGCATCTTATGTAATGTTTAGAGAGTGTATCTCAGGATTTAATGACATTATTGCCTCGTAATTATCTTGCAGACTTTATTATTTGGGCTCTTCTGCCATTACACACTAGGTATAACAGTTCAGAAAGGGGCAAGTGTGTCTGTTTTTGTATGTGAAGCTTTATTTAAAAAAATTCAAACAAACACTTATTATATGCAAGAAATGTCTGACTTTATTACTCATCTTAATAAAACTTTATCACACAAGATTCTAGGAAACACAAACAACATCCATTCACTCATTAAACAATCGTTCAAATCACATGAAAAGGCACAAAAATAACAGGCTGCTGTGATATTAAGGCCTCGGTTAGTGTTATGTGCTACGTTCAAACCAGATTATTTACACTTTTATTTGCTGAAACACAGCTTTCAGTATTCTCTCTCGTCACCTTGTCACCCTCTCAATCTCACTCGAAATCTTTCTCGCCTCATTTTTTCTTAATCAACTTGCAGGACTTGATCTTTTTAAAGCTCTCTTTTTAAATCCCTTTTCTTTTCATTTTTGCTTAACAGCTTGACAGACATTTATTAAATTAGATGTCTATTAAAAGCAATTAGCAAGTCTACAAATTATGAGGAAACTGTCATTTTCTATTTAAATATGTGGATTATTTCCTAAGCAAACGCCCCAATCAAATGTACAGTAGATTATCTAAAAAGTGCATTCTGTTCAAATTAAATAGGGACTGTATGTTAGGAGACATTAGAAAATAGGGTCATTTTCTTTGAAATGTCGTTACAGAGCGCTTCTGTTACAAGCAGGAGCTCCTTATAAATTACTATACGAATAGTTTCCCATCTTGCTCTCCAGTGAAGCGGTCGCGTCTTTCAAGGTTCATCCACAGCGTCCTCACATTGAAACTCTCTCTCCCTGCACCAGGCGACCTCGGACGGCCCAGGCATCCTGCACGGTGAAGAAAGGGGCATCAGGGTTTACAACATTAGGTTTACATATTGTGTAACATGTTCTCAAGTCTAATGGTCAGGTCTGTGTATGTTTGACCTGACTATGGGACAACCAAAGCCAGACATGTCTTTGTATTCAGGACGAATGTGTCGTTTTCCATCCATCGTTAGCCCACAGCCTCTCCTCTGAAGTGGTCTTCATGTTTGCAATAATTACATTCACCAAACTCCACTTAATTGCATGCTAAAGATGCATCATTAGGGCGGTTAGCTCAGCTCAGTTTTATGTTTTATAATGACATGTAATAAAAAGCGCAGACATGCTGCCGTGTATTTGCTAAGGCTACACATTTCCTAACGCAGATGCTCGTTGCTTTGCAGAACCTCAAGGTAAATGTAGCTCATGACATCAGGGTTTTATTGCGCTCCTCTGATCCTCTGCTTGTTAAGCGTTGCTGTCATGGCTACCAGATTTAACATATAAGCATGCTGTAATCCTCCCACTTTATAAAACGTATGA